GTCACTAATCCCCGTAGCCACAGACAATCCTGACAAAAAGTCTGTGGCCCCTGAACCTATACCCGAAGGCACAGTTCCGGAGTCAAAGCGGCCCCCACCAACGACGCCACCTGGCGTGCCGAGGTCCCTGAAGGAATCAGAGACCTCGACCGGAAGTCCCTTTCCGACGGTAACACCGCCGCCTATCGAGAGCTACCGGCCAATTCGACCCTTGACTGCGCCGAGTCAGGGTCGGGCTGCCCCCCCCCTACTCCAGGACGCACCTGGACAGGGGGAGCCACCCCCTGCTGAAGGGCGGAGCTCGGTGGAACGAGAGCACCCCCAGCAGGAACGCTCTGGTTCAGAACTTCAGGAGGGAGGTCTTAAAAAGCTTACTTCCCTTACCGGAAGAAGAGGACGAATCCCTCTTCCGGCGGAAAGTTAGCTGGAAAGGCATGGGAGCCTAAGCAGCAGACTCCATGTGCAAACAAAGTTCACATAGTGAGGTCTGGCTGTAATGTCGGCAAATGGGACAGGTATCATGGGGTTCCCATTATCTATAGAAATAGGAACATCCATGCGCTGACCCCCGACGTAAACCCGGCACCTTTATCCAGCATCGAAACAATAAAAAATTGTAACAATGAAAACAAGGATAAAAAGTTTTCTAACAATCAAAAAACTACGAACGAGATCATAAAACCTACCGTACGCAGCAAGATTGTACTGCAAAAAAAGAAAACGGTCGTACAAAACGGCCGACAAAGCAGCAAGAAAACAATTTCAACTTCACGAAAATCCGAGTGACGAGACAAGTAGTCACTCACTCGAACACGCGGAGTAAAAACACGGCCGGAAACGAAGTTCTCGAACAATCAAAAAACTACGAACGAGAGCACAAAGCCTATCGTACGCAGCAAGATTGCACTGCATAAATAAAACGGCCGTACAACACGGCTGACAAAGCAGCAAGAAAACAAATTCCAACTTCACGCAAATCCGAGCAACGAGACAAGTAGTCACGCACTCGAATACGTGGAGGAAAAAACGGCCGGAAATACGGTCAAAATAAACAAATGACAATACTTAATTTCACAATATAAGTTGGGAGATGGGTTTATAGACTACTAATAGAGTAACAATATACTCAAACGACAATGGCAGTACGAAGAGAAGGAGTAAGAAAAGCACTTAGCTCAGACACCTCCGCACTCGTCGGCAGCCATAAAGGTAAGAGAAGGGAGATCACTCTGCGTTCCTGCCGTGATGGCTCATGGATCGTAGGGAGGGCGGGATTGTTTTTCTTTTGAATCTTTTGTTGTTGGGATACAAAGATGGGTGTAGGTACTGTATTTGCATACTAAAGTTATGGTAATTATTACTGAAATGAAAAGAAGAATTTGTTTGAAGGTTTCAACATATTTGACCCCTGTGACCTTGGATATGGGTTATGTCATTTCTTTTGCCATTTTGGTTGGCCTACATCCTAGCAACTTATCACCCAAATACCATGCCTCTTTGCTTTTCAGTTAAGAAGTCATTTATAGGTTTTAACAAATTTAACCTCTGTGACATTGAATACTGGTCAAGGTTATTTCTTTTTGTGATTTTCATAGGGCTTCATCCTAGCATAAAATATCATTCTGAGGTTAGGTACTGTTTATACTTTCTGAAGCAAAAATTAGGTATACTGTTATAAAATCAAGTGGTGTAAGTTATTATAACAACTCTGTCAGACAGAAACATGGACAGGAAGAAACATCTGTCTCTAAAGTCACACAATAACCAAAACCTGAGCACAGGTAATAGAGAAGCATGAGGCATTCAGTATGTAGCTACCTCAAATTCTTAGAACTGTTCTTAAACTTCAATGTCATTTTACAACACTACAAGCAATATAAACAAACATAATTTCAAAAACAGTATGGAGAGGTAAGCGTCATTTTATTTGTTTATTTTAATCTATGTCAAAGTCTTAATAAAGATTTGAAAAAAAGATAGATTATTATCCCATAAAAGCAAGGAAATAAAAGAAAAAACATGTGTTTGAAGACAATTTTGTCAGTACAAGAGACCAGATTTTATAACAAAATTCACAATTATTTTTTTTATACCAAAACATACAAAATTTTGGGGGACAATTAAATATGCCTTATTATGCATTTCACTGATGTTTATGTTATTTTATTTTTTAAGATGATTAGCTGAACAAATTGTTTACTCCTTAAAATTGTCAAAATCTGTATAAGTAGTTCATAAGTATCTATTTGTGATCCCGGTAGTAAAAGTAATTTGGTGACATATGTGTTTTATGTGTTTATTGTGGTGTAAGTATATCTACCAACAAGAGGCCCAAGGTGCCTTTTTTGCTGACCTGTCTAATTTAACTATTCAGGCATTTTATAAAGACATTCAAATATGACAAAAAATGTCTGGTATCATTTCCCTCTATGGGGTCCTGACCTTGATTCACTATTCATAAAAAACTGCTTTAGACCAAACTTTAACATTATATCCTTGTATGGATAAAGGATTTTAAAGAAATGACATTTCCCCAATTGGGCCCCACCCCTCCTGCCCCTCTCATCCCAGGGGGCTGGAATCCACTCTATATACCCAACTGATTCCCATTCACCCAAGAATACTTCAGACTAAATTTGAGCAATATCCAATCATTCCTACAGGAGGAGTCGGATTTTAAAGAATTTACTCTATTTCTGCTATTAAGCCCCACCCCTCCTGCCCCAGGGGGCTGAAAACTTATCTCTATACAGATTGATTCCCCTTCACCCAAGAATACTTCAGACCAAATATCCATTCATTCCCAGTGGAAGAGTAGGATTTTACAGAACTTGCAAAATTTCTGCTTTTAGGCCCTGCTCCTCAGGCCATTGGGGTTGAGAACCAATATTTACACAAATTTGGTTCCCCATTTCCCAAGTATGCTTCTGACCAAATTTGATCAAATTCTGTTTAGTCATTCATAGCTTTTAGCAATTTTCGATAAAAAGTTGATGGATGCCTGACGGTTGATGCATGTTGCACCATCACATATGCTCTATGGTTCTTCAGAACAAGTGAGCTAAAAATGAAAATAATTTCTTTAGGAAATTCAACATGTTTATATCTAGACCTAAAGGTCCATGATATTTGAAATTATCTTTTCACTGTAAATTAATGATTACAGGACCTGCCCCAAACGCCAAGACTTAACACTGAAACAAGAATGATTTCCTTTCACCCAAGAATGATTCAGACCAAATTTGGGCAATTACCATTCATTCCTACAGGCGGAATAGGATTTTAAAGAACTGGCATATAACGTCCCCTTTTGGGCCCTGCCCCTTGGACCCATGGGGGCCGAGAACCAACATTTACACAATTTGGTTCTCTTTCCTCACAAGAAGCTCCTTACCCTATTTGGTCAACATCTCTTCAGTCTTTCATGACCAGTAGTGATTTTCAGTAAAAAATTGACACATACTATCAGTCATGTAAATCTGACATGGAAGGGAAATTTCCAATAATGCTCTGGGTAAATGGCAGATAGCAACATGAAAGACATAACCTCCATAACAAATAATTTTTTTCTCCAATATGCTTTATCATGTGTATAGACAATAAGAGTTGTCTGAACGAGACTAAGAAATTAGTATCATACTCAGCAAATCTAAATAATCATGTCCAAAATGATAAAAAAGGAAAAACCAAATATTATGAATTAGTTAAGAACTCATCAAATACCATAATCATGGAAGGAAGAATTCTTAAGTAAACTGCTAAGAGTTAATGTTGTTATTTGATGCATGGTTCATAATGAAAGTCTGTCACTATATTACCAGTCATTGGACAGGTCTGGAAAAGTCCAGTAATATAGTGAAAGTCTTTTTACATCAGGATCAAATAGTACCTGGCACATAAACATTCCAAGGTGTCAGTTATACTGAGATAACTGTCAATACTAAGAAAGGAGAGGAAAATTCTGCCACCAACTAAAAAGCAGGAGGCTGCCCCACACATTTACCCTTTAGCAGCCAGGTGTGATGAGGGAGTTTGTGAGGATCGCAGGTCAACCTCTACCCAAAACACAGATTAGTTCACCGACGATGCCTTTCTGGTATAAACAATTGGTGAAACCAACAAGTGACACTACAATTCCTTAAACTTTTGGTTAAATAAATATTGTTGCCATGTATATAATCATGTTTTTTTTTGTCCCAATGAAATAACTGTTCTCACTCCAAATGACTATGCCATAATTCTTATTACATGGATAATGTAGTCTGTTCAATATGTTATACATGTATAATGAACATCAAAACTACCAGATTGATGTTAATTGCATTATCATGATTTTTTAAGTCAACATGAATTAACTGGAAACAAATGTAAATGTTTTGTTTGGCGTTTACAAAATCAGCAATGTTAAATACCGAAATAAAAAGCTGAAAATCATCGAAAAATAAAAGAGCAACGCATGTCATTCATTAATTGACCAAAAATTCATCAAAATCTACGGTTGCAGAAAATCTGTCGGCACCGACAGTATTGATATAATTTTATCAGGTGCTGTCTGGCTGCATCTCAGCCCTTCATGTTTGCGTATCTCCTTAGTAGATACTATATATTGACCTAGAAGTATGCAGATATAACAACATACACTACTATGGATACATAAACATATCAAGCATCACACAATCTCTGTCCACAAGTAGATACCTTGTTTCATTCCAGCTGATTGAAATCGGCCATCTTCATTGTTGTGAAAACAGGATCGCTTATATCTAAACAAAATATCTTAGTTTTTATTATGTACTGAATATTTGAGTGAATCAGTGGATGACTTACAATATATTTTACTGCTTTAATCAGATCAATATTATTATTCTCTTTTTCCATCAGTTTGATATTTTATCTTACATATTGTTTTTACATGATTTGAGCGACCTACCCCGGTTTTCTACTTCCGGTCGAAAGAAACGTCAAAGTCGTGGTTGGGCCCACGCGAAACAGATACCATAACAGCCTTTATATGATAAATTTTACCTGGCGTTTTCAGTTCACTTAAGAGATTCGTTTTTATTACACCTAAGGTGTTTTTTTTTAATCATGCAGCCATATCTTGCTATAGTGTTGGTTTTCGCCGGCTGTTGTAGTAATGTTGTCTTTCTGGAATACCTCGTAAGGTAAGACTAGTCCGAAGGGTTCTGACTATCTATCCGTGAATTAATTTTTGTCTTAGTCGTAAACGATAGTCAGATTCCTCCCTATGTAAAAGCAACGCCATATTCTAGCGATTCCAGAAAGGGTCAGCATTCAGTCAATGTTTTATAGTTTACAGCAACCCGGTACCAGAGCACTTGCAAACCTGTCTATTTAGTCAGATTTGGCTCTATAGATACGTAGTAAAATCTGAATATTCGTATATAGAGAAAAAAAACAAACAAACAAAGAAGACGAATTACGTAAATCAGTGAAATGAATGTTTTGGTATGTTTGCTCAATTTCAATTGATTTTTTGGAATTTCATTATTACATATTTTCAGTATCCACGAATAGAGCCAAATCTGACTAAATAGAAAGGTTTGCAAGTGCTCTAGTACCGCCTCTATAAGGAAACTTTCTGGACATGTGCCTGTAAACCTAGTCTGTTAATGATAAAGACCCATGATAGTTCAAGATTGACATTTTCTCATTTATCAAAATGGCTAATATAAACCTATATTATTTATACATTTTAATTTCATGGCCTAGTCTGTAGGAGTCTATTGTAAAATCTAAAAAAACATCAACAAGTTTCATAATGCATCTTCAGAAAATGTCTTGTAAAATATTCAATAAGTTTTCGACAACAAAAGATATGTTGTGAATATGATCGTGATACACACAAGTACTTAGTTTCATGTTGATATTTGTAAAATTGGTTGAGTTACGGAGAGTCATATTTTCTTCAAGCGTCTGTGGTACATGTGTGTAGTGTGTATTAGACTCCAGAGTAGCTTCATCAAGCTTATCTAAAAATACTTAAAAAAGTTAATGACATCACAAGATAATTGTTAGTATGATTACAATACATTACTGTACAAAAATTTCAGTTTCATATCTGAAAAAACGACCAAGTTAAATGGTAATTTTACTATAGCAAGATTGTTTATGCAAAATAGACAGGGTTATTGTTTAGTGTCTTCAAATTGTACAGTAAGTGACATCAAAGACATTATGTATATATGATCATAATACAGCAAGTTTCAAATTGATATTTATAAAATTGGTTGAATTATGGAAAGTTTAATATTCCTCAATCACAGAGAGTATGTGTTTAATGTGTATCATATTCAAGGATGTGTCTTGACAACCAGACACTTTACAGCTCTCTATATATAAGTAGGAGTTTTTTCTCTATGGTGAAGTTTGATTAGTTCACTAATAGAATAGTATTGATTTAATATCATGTTGTGCCACATTTAGTAGGTAGTAAAAATCCAGTAGTATTGTCAACATTATATTTATATATAGGTCATTATGAGAATTAATAACTCCCACACATAGCATACAAACAGAAGTTTTAAGCTCACCTGGTCTGGAGGCCCCCTGAGGACTAGAGGGGCGGGGCATTATAGTGGAAATAGAAAAAATTCTTTAAAATCCTGTTCCTCGTTTAGGTATGATTATATTTTCCCCAAGTTTGGTCGGAAGAGTTCTTGGGTGAAGAGGAATCAACGTTGTATAAACAGTGCATCTTTGCTACCTAGGGCAGAAGGAGCATGGGCCAATATGGGAAATAGAACAAATTCTTTAAAATCTGTATTCTTCTGTAGGAATGGGAGGATTCTGTCTCAATTTGGTCTGATGCATGAAGGGTTTTTCTGAGCCTCTCCCCAGGAAAGAGGGTAGGGGCACCATGGGGATATCTTTTGTGTTTTGTGTGCTTGGATATTTAAAATTTCTTTTCCTTCAGTTTTGATAAGCGATTTCAGCCAAGCAAATCCAGGTGGAGGATACAGTCCGTTATAATGAGCATTGCATAGTTACCTTCTTCCCCTACAGGCAGAATAAAAATATCTCTTTTCATCTCATTTTAGTTCTTTTCCTGGGAGTGGCAATATCATCACATTTTCACAGTTCCTGTTTATAGCAGTAGAAGGTTTCATATTCACCTCAAAGTTTGGTACCAAGAAATCTGCTATACCAATTAAGTAAGTATAGACTACATACTTCAGTGTATTGATGCAGAAGTATTGTTATGTGTATAATGTACTGTTATAGAACATAGGTATATCTATTCAATGATATAGATCATGGAAGTTGCAGTTTTTCATATAAAAATGTGTAGAATTTCATCAACACCTAGAATTACATGAAATATTGTAAACAATTTTTTGGCATGATTGCTTTGAATAGACATTCTAAATAAAAAAAAGATTGTGAAATAACAGGAAAAATACACATTCCTGTTGAGTGCCCCAACAAGGAATTGGACCTAGGTCTCCAGTATGATAACCAACCAGCTCTACCAACTGAGCCTAAGAATCATGTTACATCAGCTGACCGTATTTAACACAGTACAAGCCACACCTACCTGCTCCTTTTACACTATTCCCAGTTTTTCTTGACATTTCCTAAATGTGTAATGCAAGACTCCAATTACTACATAACCTGTGATATATTGTTGGGCGCCATTGTGACATAACAGGGAAACCTCACATTCTTGTTGAGGGCCCCAACCAGGAACCAAGCCCAGGTCTGCTTGGTAACTGACTAGCTCTACCAACAAGAAACATGCTCTAAGGGAATTTTGAGAAGTTCAGTACTAACCTCAAATACGTCCGAAACAGACAATCACTGCCATGTTTGATGCATACCAAGTATATATACTTTGGACAAATGTGAAATATAAGACCCCAATCACTCCTTGCTTTATTACTGTCTCAATGAAAGTATAGTCAAATTCCTTGACAATCTGAAATACATTCAATTTGACATCCATGAGGACGTGTATTCTTAAATGAGAATGGAGGAAAGTACCAGTCAACATTAAACTTAACATTTTCATCAGGTTTACTATCCCCACCTTCACCACCGCACCTCTTACACAACAACTCCCTTCCTAAAAGTTATTGACCTTAAATTGTAATTTAGCATGCTGTAATATGTGACCACCACCATGCTGCCAGGCATATATATATAAGCCTATGATAAATGTTGAGGAATTTTGGGGATGACATCAGCTTAAAGTGATTTTTCAATGATCAGGAAATTAATTGGTAAAATAGTATGAACTACCTTGTATGGATTACTACACGTAAACAAAAACTGATAATTGTAGGTAGGTACATTGTTTTGATGGTACATCACATTGTTCTTACATTTTTCAGACAATATATTTTCATGGTGTGTTTCTTCTTTGTGGTGCAAGTGTTAAACAACTATGCCTTCACATTTAATATCTCCATGCCTCTCCAAATGATCTTCAGGGCGGTAAGTATTTCATTTATTATTTTTTTTGTATATCAGAGTTGAAAACCACATAGAAAAAAAAAACAATGATATAAAACTTAGTAAATTGTTGTCTCTTGATACCTTTCATAATCAAGTTTTTATGTCCATTTTACATTAATAACAGTTGTATTGTTATAGGGGCGGTAATTCTAATTGTGATGTACAATATTAGTATGGAATTTAAATTATCTGTCCCTGATGAGCCGTTAATGGCGAAACCGGTTGGCAAACAATAAAATTTAAACACTTACTTATTGGTTAAGTGTTGAGTCCACTCCTATCCTTTATCCTTGTCATTAATATAGAGTATCGGGTAATATAAGTAAATCTTTGCTTCTTAATTATAACTTGCTCAACTTAATGTATATTATGATTATAAATTTGTGGTCATTCATTTGCTAAGTTTGATAAAATAATACTATGGATTTTAATCATTATCAGTGATGTGTGCAGAGTGGTGCATGCCTCAGCTATAACCACTGTCACGTTTACATTATGACTGTCATGAGGAGTGCTTTAAAACATAAGCTTTAGACAGGGGATTTTTGTCTGGTTTGTTTCCCAGTAGGTTTTCCCAGGTGGGTTTCATGCTAACATACAAAGGAACATTTTTCTCGGCAGCATCAAAATAAATGCTGTACACATATATTAATCTTTGAATTTGTTAACAATATAAAATTAAAGTCCATTTCATTTTTGCTGGGTGACATTTTTGTTTTATCATTATAGGGTTCCCTGATGGCTTCACTAACTCTTGGAGTTATGCTTAAAGGACGGCAGTGAGTATTGTAACATATTATTTATGAAACACCCTTCAGAAATGTTGACAGGACATATTATGGTATCAACCTTAATCACCATCATATAAAGATATGGTTTCATGAACAGCAGATTGATTTAACTGTGATTTGAAAAGTTACTGCCCCTTGTTGTTTTCATGATGCTAATTTTGTCTGGAGCTTTTGTCTCTCGGTTTTCAACCCATCTCTTTCAAACTTTGTAGGCTTAATGATAATGACAGGAATTTGTGTTTGACTGAGCAATAGTTTGATTTTGACAATATTTAGTTATTGCCCCTTGTTTTCATAACATTGATGTTGTCCAGAGATCTCATCATTAGTTTTCAACCCATCCCCTTCAAACTTTGTAGATTTAATATAACAATGCTGCAAACCATATTGGTCAAAATCTGCTCATCTATTCATGAAAAGTAGCAATTTGTAAAAAAAGTTGACCGACGGACACGGATGCCACAGATATGGCATGAGCTTTCTGTTCCTTTGGATCAGGTGAGCTCATAATACAAGTGTTTATTGATTTCTGTGTAGGTAACATTAATACATTTGGTATTGTGAATGAGTTTTCCATTCATTAATTGTCACCCTTGTTATATGATATACATTGCCTGCTTTATAATTAATTAACATTTGTGTGCTAATAACAACATTTATTATAGCTTGAATACAGATGTCACGCATAATACATGATCTAGAAGGTGAGATGGTGACCTCAAAAGGTTTTTTTAGGTTGCATAACTAAGCAACGCCATGCTATTGTAACTAGTTGTACTTTGAGCATAATAACATGACCATGTGAAAGAGTTCAGGAACCAGGATTTTTAATGATCATGATAATCTACAACCTTGCAACAAATATAAATAAAAAACTTGCTACACATTTATACTTCATCTTGCATATACAAGTGCAAACAAGGGACACAACTCTCACTTATCTTACATTACCTATCTTGTTATTCAAGATATGGTCATAAATTACAGTCACCCCAACGAAGAAATAATGTTACATTACTTTTTAGGTCGCCTGAGCCAATGGCTCATGGTGACCTATTGCCATCATGATTTGTCCTTATTTAGGGTCCTTATGGCATGGTCTACAAAGTTTGTGAATGAAAAAAAATCAGGTCAAAAACGGCCCCACTAGGGGGCACTCAAAAGGGTCAAAAAATCAGCTTTGACCAATTTCAACCAAATTTGGTAGAAAGCATCCCATAGTGAAGGACATATGAAATTATGTTGAAAAAAGGTGATTATGGCATCTTTGGGGCCCATAAGGGGTGTAAAAGGAGCCATATGTAAAAACCTTCATTAAATGACTACTTCTCAAGAACCAGCAGATGGATTTTGACTAAACTTTTCACAAAGCATCCTCATGGGAAGCCACTTCAAGTTTGTGAAGAAAAAGGGCATGGCCCCAATAGGGGCCCCAGGAGGGGGAAAAGGGGGAAACTTGATATGAATGTTCTACACAAGGTCCTGGCAAGTGTTTTAACTTTTTGGGACAATTCAAAATCCAAGATGGCCACCTTCGCCTCTGTTTGGCTAAGACATTATGGACATCCTCTCTAGAACCATTGGGTGGGTCATGTTCAAACTTGGTACAGATGTTTTACACATGGTCCTGCACAAGTGTTGTTACATTTTTGCAACATTTTAACATCCCCAGATTATTGTCATATATTCCCCAGGTGACCGTTAAGGCCCCTTGGGCCTCTTGTTTTATATTTCTTATAATTACGATTTTTAACACATTTCTACAATATCATACCTGCGTGTGGTGCAGAGTCATTCATTGATCATAAAATTTGGCATAAATATGAAGAGTTGACATCTAGAATAAACACAATACACTGGCACACTTATGCATAACATAAGATATAACAATCAACAAAACATGACTTTAAAATCACAGATATATAATTCATAAATCATTGGCATTCAAATTTATTTTCCTTACATAAAAAGATTTTACTTGACATACATTTAAATATCGCTAATATGTTATATACAAACTATTATGACAAATACTACTGATATGGTAGAATATGGGAAATAGTGAATTAAGCAATTAGACTATTAAATCTACTTACATCTACTCTTTCTTTCATGTCCATTTTCAAAATGTCTAACTGTCATCTGACAAACTTTTGCCAACTTACCAGTACACTGCACAAACCACAATGACTACAAAAACCCTAAACAATCAGTACACAGGACAACTACAATAAGTAATATGACGTAACGAGACTCTAACACCAATTAGCAGAACTACACCAAGGAATATGGACGTGCATTCGAAATACGCACAAGCACATTGGCAAAATATATGTGTTGCAGAATAAGATAATAATCAAATGAAAAGAAATCTATTTTGTATAAACAGTGGGAGGGGCAGGCCCCAATAAGGGAAATGGAGCTGTGGAAGTGATTGAATATTGCTTGAATTTGGTCCAAAGTATTCTTAGGTTAAGAGTAGTCAGTTTTGTTTTAAAAAAAATGGGTCTCAGTCCCCTGGGGCAGGAGGGACGGGGCTAAATTGGCTAAAAACATACGAAATAAAACATAAAATTAATTACTCCTCCTACAGTATAAACAATTTTAATGAAATATAATGTTGATGAAAATAATAATTTTGTGAACTCCATCATTAATGATATATGCAATCTTCTTATAACTGAAGCAATACATGCATTAGGTACTAATCACACTAGGCCATACTCTGTAAATAAACATGTTATTCAATTGTAAAAACTTGGTTTACAACAGATTGCAAGTCTGCCTGAAAAAAGAAAGAAAAACTGAAGGATTTTATAAAACGTTTTCCAATACTTACCTTAAAGAGGAAATGTATGTAAAGGACAATGAATCGCTTTGTGACTAAGCATAAGTTAAAGATTAGAAATAAACTTAAGTTGTTAGGGTCAAGAAATCCTGAAGAATACAGGAAGATCTGGGAAGACTACTTGTAATACTAGTATTGAAGATCTATTTAACTTTTTTTATCCTGTTTTTACAAAACTTTTGAAAGTGGAGATAGCCATGTGTTGTCTGAGCTTACTGATCTGTCTAAACTTGTAGTTTATATTCTTTTAACTAAGTCATTACTACCTACTGAAATAATGTAACATGGCAGTAAAAATAATGATAATGCGAATGGTGATAACATGCTGTTTAATGAATATATTATGTCAGCCATAGAGGTAATGTTGTCAATATATGCTGAAGCATTCAGTTATATTTTTAATACTGGTCAGGTGCCCGAGTCTTGACCACTGGAAAATATCATTCAAGTTTTTAAGAATAAGAATAGCTTCCATGATGCTGCTAACTATCACCCAATCACTGTGGTTAGCTGTCAACCAAATTGTTTACAACTGTGATTAATGAACATCTTAACAAGTATCCAAATAATGGAGATTTATTTCTTTAAAAAATCAAGTGCAGTTAAGAAGAAACAGTCAACAGTTGATTATATATTTTCACTTTATGCGTTAATTGAATTAACTAAACACTTTGAAAACTAATTAAACTATATGTGTTTAGATTTTGAGGAAGCCTTTGATAGTGATTTGAGAGTAAATCTTAGATTAACTGTTGATTAATGATATAGGTAGAATATGTCAGTCTAATATAAGTGACAGAATTGCATGTATAACTGAAACCGTATGTTACATGCTGATGACACTATACTACTATAAGACATGGCAGAGGGTTTGCAAACTCCATTAAATATATTTTTTGAATATTTCAACCTATGGCATCTAACTTTCAATATCAGTAAAACTCCCAGTTTTGATATTTGGTTGAAAAAGAATCTTAGATTGCCTTAATTTTACACATAGTACGGTTTTTAGAAAAAAACTAAGGATTTAAAATACCTTTTGGTTTATTTTATTAAAACTGGTTTGACACAATTTAATGTATTAAACAACTGTGTAAGTATAGCAATGTATGGCGCTGTTTCCAAATGTAGGGATCGCAAATTGTCTTTAGACTTAACAACTGGACATATTTGACAAAGCTATTAAACCTATTGTATTATATGGATGTGAAGTATGGAGTTTCTGTAATTACAAACTTATCAAACATTTGCATTTAAAATTTTGCAAGCACATACTTTAAGTTAAAATGTCTACCCCAAATTTAAGGATATATATACAGAAAATTTGTTAAGTTATTAGAGATTAATGTTAAAGTAAGAATGGCGTGATTTTAGGATAAGATGACACAAAATTAAACCAGAAGAAATTAATCAACAAACCAGTTAACAACTTAATTTCATTATCAACTTTCATGGGTAAAGTATGTGGAAGGTATATTGGATGAATACACTTTGATACACATATTCAACAGTTAAATGTTTTCAAGGATACATTGGGTGAAGAGTATCATATTTCCATATATATATATATTAACTGAAAGAGTATTTATATGAAACTGGAGGAATGGATTTTGAAACTGGAGGAATGGATTTTTTACTTTCCGAAAGGAATTGTTTAAAGAATGTATAAATAAGAATTTAGAACATGCAGTACTAAGTTGCTAATGGTGCTGTCAAATACTAGGTCACTGTTACTATAAACAGTCATTGCTTAAAAGGTTCCAATGCCTCTCTAATTCATTCCAAACTCCACGTGTATTTACAAAGATTGCCTTTTGTACAAGTTTAAGTTTTGATCTTTGGTAGTTAAAAAACTAGGTCAACTTTACTATAAATAGAAATGCTGAAATATAGATGTCACCGCTCTTCAGACTGCCATTTCACTACCAGGATACTTCTATTGTGACATTAATAAACACCAAATGCATCGTCATCCATAAAACAATACTTACCTGCAGCCTATCCTGTCACCTACCCTCGTTTTGGTAGTTTATTAGACCATATCTCTACACCAGGGACATTCACACTATGAAATTGGTCACCATCTTCCAGTATTACACAGACCACCTTTTAAATCAAAGGTACATAATTTTGCTTATTTATGGTAAACTGCAGAAGGTACAAATGCGAACCCTTACAAGAGATGATGTTTGATAACATGTGTAGGTTTCCATTGACTCTTACCATGTGTAATGCCTTGTTATGTTTATATGTTTACTAGGTATACCAAAGGAAAATATGTTTCCGTGACACTCATCACTATTGGTATAATCATGTGTACTATAGCATCTTCTCAGGTAAAGGTGAGTCACATTTTTTTTCCAGAAAATGTTTCAATTAAAATTTTACCCTGCAATCATTGATTGAATAATGAAATTGTATATTAAGTACTCAGAATATAATACATGTATTTAAGTAATCGAAAATATGTTAGTTCAACATGAATTAAAATAAAATAACACTAGTCCTCTGCACATGGTCACATCCTTGGTTTAATGAAAAATGGAAACAAAAATCACTCAGATCTTGTGATCATAGAATGTACCCATATTTATTTACTCCAGGTTTTTTCTAATCTTTCATGAGAAGATTTGTCTTCCATGTTAAAGTTAAAACAAATGTCTGGGGAAAACTAAAAATTCAGTTCATTACATTGTTATTAATTCACCGACCCAAAGGGCCAAGTTTGTTTATGCTGTGGTGTGTCTTGTGTCTGTCATCTGTCCATTGTCCATTTATCCAGTGTTAACTTTTTCCTTCATAGAACTTCTTTTCATTACCCAATAATCATAGAACCAGGATATTTGGCTGGAAGGTGGCTGGAATGAAGCCTGACAAAGTTTACTAAAGAAATTACCTCGACCCATATTCATAGTCACAGGATTTAAATTTATTAAATGCTTCAAATCACTTCTTCTTAATGATCAAATGTCAAGGGTTAACCTTATTCTAGGATGAACCCTAACAATGTTGTGAAAAGAAATGGTCTTGACCCATATTCAAGGTCACATCAGCCAAATTTGTTAAACTTTCATACAACTTCTACTTAAATAAAAGGCGTACAAAAAAGAAATTTGATTGATTGGTTTCAGACAAGATTTCCATTAAAGCATGTGAAATGAAAAGACCTTGACCTATTTAAGGTCATAGGGTTCAAGTTTGTTAAAAAGAATCTTCCTATGTCTTCTTCCTATTAATCAACATGTGAAATGTTTATGTTTTGTAAAAAGGATTATACATGAATAGCAGATCAGCAATGCAGGCTCAGTGGACCTCTTGTTCATGTTTCAATACAGAGATTGCTAAAAACCAACAATAGACAGAAGTTTTGTAAAAATATTCATTATTTTTATGCAATTCATAGATATGTGACTTCCAAATTGAATAGAATTTGCTGTTAAAATTTGGCTTCATCATAAAAATATCATATTTCAGTTCTGTTTAATTCCATGTTTATGGTTAATTATAATTTTATATTTTTGCTTCTTCAAATTTCATCACTTTGTACAATGTGGTTTGGTTTTAGGCATTTAATTAAAGACTAAATAGAGAAATAATGTTTCTGTTTATATTTAACAGGAGTCAGTGCCTTCCAATGAAGGTGAAGATTTGTACAGCTTTACAATGTGGACAGCAGGTAAACAGTGGGTCAGTCTGATGCTCTTTGTAGTTAACACTGGTACTATGATGCAGCATCTTTCACCTGCTAACTATTTGTTAATGCAGCTCCTACAAAACTATTAGCAAGTTGGTTCTGATATTTGGCCATTAGGTACCAAAGATATAGTGCTATAGTTTTCTGATGATCATTTCGTTGACCTACCTACTTTCAAGGTCACATATTGTTGAATCTTTGATGCAGGCCCTCTGTGCTCCTTGTTCTCTTGACAATATTTTCAAGTCCTGTGTCAGTACAATTTTTCACAAAATCTGGACCTTAAAATGACTTAAATGCAGTCGATGACTTACTACCTGTATGGCAGAATTGAAATTCTGAGCCAACCAATCTTTAGGTAATATCCATCAGGATTGACATTGTTAGTAATAGGTGTCTATTGTTTTACAGGAATTGTTTTTTTGACCACTGCCCTGTTCCTGTCTGCTGGCATGGGCCTATTCCAGGAGTCTGTTTATTCTAAGTATGGCAAACATCCCAGGGAGGCACTCTTTTTTAATGTAAGTATTGGCTACTTAGTAATAAGTTATCCTTAAAAAGTTCACTGAAGAATACCTTAACCCTTTCGGCGCCGTAGGTGACTGAAGTCGACATGCAGACAGGCCGCCGTAGGCGACTAAAGTCGACATGCAGACAGGCCACCATAGGCGACTTTAGTCAACAATTTTTGCCATTGTTTTCGGATATTTTCCGGAAAATATTTGGCGATGAGCTGTACATTGTGAGAAATATTTGGCGCTGAGCTGTACATTGTGAGAAATATTTGGCGCTGAGCTGTACATTGTGAGAAATATTTGGCGCTGAGCTGTAAATTGTGAGAAATATTTGGCGCTGAGCTGTAAATTGTGAGAAATATTTGGCGCTGAGCTGTAAATTGTGAGAAATATTTGGCGCTGAGCTGTAAATTGTGAGAAATATTTGGCGCTGAGCTGTACATTGTGAGAAATATTTGGCGCTGAGCTGTACATTGTGAGAAATATTTGGCGCTGAGCTGTAAATTGTGAGAAATATTTGGCGCTGAGCTGTAAATTGTGAGAAATATTTGGCGCTGAGCTGTAAATTGTGAGAAATATTTGGCGCTGAGCTGTAAATTGTGAGAAATATTTGGTGCCAAAAGGGTTAATGCTGCTTTTTGTACTGATTTGTATGTTTTTCTAAATGTACAAGAAAACTTTTCAGAGCAGGCCATCTTGACTGGTATACTCTTTTTGTACTAAATTTGGAATTTGATGTATTTCATTCCTACTTCTCTAGACTTAGTAATGTTCTAGAGTACTTATTTTGTACTAAAGTCTGACTCTGTATGTGACTAATGGTCAAGTAATCTCTACTGTATTTCAACAACTTAAGTGTGAAATCATCAAATATTTTTCCTTTTAAATCATGGTTTGTATACATTGTAATAAAACATAGATAGATCTGATAGGTTGTGATAGACCCTAAATATTAGATATTGAAATGTTGTGATGTTTGTGAATTTGATTCATTTTTTCTAACATTGTCTAGCATGCTCTTCCATTGCCTGGTTTTCTACTACTGATGAACAATATAAAGGACCACGCACTGCTCTTCAATCAAACAGGTGAGATAGATTGTGAAACTATTGGTTCTGTACCATTTTGTCAAGTAATAGAGCCAAGCTGCCATAATGTATATTTATATATTGTAATACATTGTATTTCAGGTATCACACATAGAACACAACATGTTCAGTTTATAGCGTATCGTGGGAATCTGACATTACACATAAAACACAACATATGCAGTTTATAGCGTATCGTGGGAATCTGACATTACACATAAAACACAACATATACAGTTTATAGCGTATTGTGGGTATTTCACTTCAGACATAAAACACAGCATGTGCAGTTTATGGCATATCCTGGGAATCTGAAATCACACATAAAACACAACTTGTGCAGTTTATGGCATATTGTGAGTATCTGACATTACACGCAAAACACAACGTGCAGTTTATAGCCTATCGTAGGTATCTGACATCACACATAAAACACAACCTGTGCAGTTTATGGAATATTGTGAGTATCTGACATCACACATAAAACACAACATGTGCAGTTTATGGAATATTGTGCGTATCTGACATCACACATAAAACACAACATGTGCAGTTTATGGAATATTGTGGGTATCTGACATCACACATAAAACACAACAGGTGCAGTTTATGGAATATTGTGCGTATCTGACATCACACATAAAACACAACGTGTGCAGTTTATGGCATATTGTGGGTATCTGACATTACACATAAAACACAACATGTGCAGTTTATGGAATATTGTGGGTATCTGACATCGCACATAAAACATAACATGTGGTATCTATCTCTGGTCCATGAAATTTTCAAATATGGAAATATAAGTTTCTTTATGTGTGCAACATGCTTTAAAAACCAATTCTCTCTCTCGCTGTTTCCAGTTGGGAAATCATTATGGTTACATATCCAACTTTTTTATATTTCGTTTTTCATTACAGAACATTTAGAATTGATAGCTGGTATCACTGTTCCACGGATGTGGTTTTTCCTGGCTGCTAATGTTTTAACACAGTATCCTTTTAAAAGATCTGCTTACCAGTTACATGATGCTCATTGATAGTATGCAAACTACAGACACCTCAACACTCCTAGCATTGTACATAGATAGATATCAGATATTGTAGGAATAAAGAATATAGGCGAAAAGTTGAACAGTTTTAGCTTTGTCCTAGTAATATCAGTCTGGGATGTCTTGTTTAGGTTAACAAAGAATTTAAACACAACTTGTCAAGATGCTGAGGTTGACATTTAAATATATGATAAACTGTTTAACATATATCTAATCGATATATGAGTTTCTGGGCAAAGAAATTTTGGCCTTACACTGAATCAATTATTTATAAATCATAAATTATTTCAATGTTACTTATGAGTTTGTATCTTGATATTTGCTTAATTGCATCATTTATTAGCGAGGAAATATTGTATTTTTACCAGCAATGATTTTGTTTTTTTTTTGTGCTCCTTAACTGTTCAGATATGTATGTATCCGGTCAGTATTTGTCCTGACAACAGAGTGTAAAGCCTTGACCGTCACACTGGTAGTCACGTTACGTAAGTTTGTCAGCTTACTGTTCTCTATCTGGTACTTTGAGAATGAGTTCACACTTGTTCACTGGCTTGGGTCCATGTGTGTGTTCTTGGGAACGCTGATGTTCACAGAAGTCATCCCACTACCAGCAGCTCTGGCAGGCCAGCCGCTCTCTGAAAAGGACAAGAAGAAATAACACTCAAGGATCTTAGGATTTCATCTGTTTATAGTTTTGGTCACGGAAATACTTCAGTTGATGCCATTGGGATTTCAGGAAACCTACATGACACATAACAGCATATCTTTTAACTTAAACCTGTAATCTCATTGATATTCAAGTTGAATGTATTTTAATATGTAATTTAATTAGAGCCTTAATTTTTTTATGTACTTATTTCTGTCCTAAGTTTGTCTATCAGCTTAACAGACATGTCAGGGATGTTTAGAAATATTTGAACAATCAACAAGGGTTCAAATACTACAATGGTGATATGACTTGTAGTTCACCATGGTGAAATGCACCACATCATGTTAATGTGAAGCTGCCTCAATTTTTTAACAAGTTTGACTTCCAACCTTGTGAAGTCAAAACTAGGTCGCTGATGCTATAAATAAAAATCAACAGAAATTTACATGTCACCACTCTACAAAACACAAACATCACTTCTTGTACCAGTTTGACTTCAAACACTAGGTCACTGTGTTACTATAAATAGAAACTAACCAAATTTTTATGTCATAGCACTAAAAAATCCATAGCTTCTCCAATCTGTAACAAACATTACACATGAGTTCACAAGTTTTGAACTTTGGTAGTTTAAAAACTAGGTCAACTTTATTAAAAATAAAATTGGCTGAAATTTGGATGTCACTGCTCTACAGGCTGCAATTTGACTACCAGGCAACTTCATTTGTGACATTAATAAACACCAAATGAATTTCATCCATGTAAAACACTTACCAGCAGCATAGCGAGTCACCTACCATCATTTTGGTAGTTTATATCTAAACCACAGACATTCAAGTCATCAAACAGGCACCATCTTCCAGTGTTACACATACCACATTGCTATTTATACAATATTTAAATAAAAGCTACACAAGTTTACTTATTTATAGTAACTCTAACCTACATTTGCACTGCAGAATGTACAATTCAAACACTAACAAGAGGTGATGTTTGGTAGTGTGTAGGTTTCCATTTACTCTAACTATGTCATACAAATTTGAGGCACCAGGGTATTTGCATCATGTGAATACGTTGTTACTATGGGCTTCATTTTACCATACTACATCGGTACCTCTTCTAATTAATTAATTAATATTTTTCAGCAATCCTTTGTAACTTGATATATATAAATCTATACATATAAATAATAACTCCGTAGGTTTTTAAATAAAGCATCATTGACCCTCGAATTTTTATACGAGGGTCGTTTCCAGTTGGGGAACAGTAGTAATGCTGAACGGGTCATTTTAAGGCTAATTTACAATCAATCATCACAGCACAATAAACAATTACTGTGTTTGTTAGTGCATCGTTCAGGAATTAACTGATCTAAATAAAAAATATCTGTTGACAATCACATAGATAATTGACAGATCATCTTTGAATTCAAAGTAATAATGTTTATATGAATTGTTCTTTATTAACCAATCACAATAGTTCTTGCTCAACTGTTTGTGGTCTTCAAAAACAAGTTGATGACTAAATGTGATAATGGTGCCAGTATGTCACTTTGCTTGTTATTTTAAGTTATATGGTATATTGTTAAATGATTGAAATGTCAGCTTTAGTTTACAATTATACTGAACAGTACTGAACAGTGTTACATGTAGGTGGAATTACATCCAGGCATTGGGTTATTGTTGTAGCTGTTAATTCAATAAAATAATTGCAATGCATTTTTGGTACAACCACTGGAACATTTCAATTGTATTGACAGTACAAGGTATGAAAATTGAGTAAGTGTATCAATGTTTATCTATATTCAGAGCTAGTGCTAATTCAAAGTTATCTACATGGATATATATGATCTACTGTAAATTATCATCATGTATGATCTATGTTCATACATAAGAGAGGTGATCAAGGACAATTTATCACAAATTAATTGTGATCCAGTTATCACTAAATTTAGTATGTCATGAAAGAATGTTGATTTACAGTATGGTGTCATTGCAACCAAAGATACCTCGTGGAATTGTACAGTATTGATAGGTTAATCTGTCAAGAGTTCTTTATCTAGAATCTACTTGGAAGGAGAGTTGAGGGTATAGAAATATAATACTATTACTTATATGGGATTAACATAGTGTTTAACAATCTTCAAACAGTTTGAAGTTAATCAGTATCCCTTAATACAAAAATTGTAGGGTTTTTTCCAGTTTTTAGATATATAATTGGGCATTTAACCAACTGGTGAACATTTTCTCTTCTTATATTTAGGGCTTTTCACTAAGTGGTGAAAAGACCTATTGTTTTTCTTCGGTTTCTTATTATTCTTATTATTATTATTCTTATTCTTCTTCCAATTTTGTGGGTTCGTAAACTTTTAAATTGTAATATATAGATATACAGTCTATTCAAATATTTGTAGATACGTATATGAACTTGTCGATGCCTATTTTTGAAGTAGGTCAAAAATTCAATATGGCCGCCATGACGTCATAAGTTAAAAATTTAAAAACGAGAATATCTCGAAAACCATTGATTATACAGAGTTTGTGCAATTATATTATTTGTAGAGAATTTCCTTATCTAAATTTTTGTCATGACATGTTATCAGAAAATATGTCAAATAAAAAAGCTAAAGTTTTCAAAATTTAACAAATTTTTAAATTTTTTTCAATTTTGAACTTTCTTGCAATTTTATTCTTCAGATCGATGCAGAACATCCTTCCGATGAATTTAATGTTTTGTTTTTTGTTAGATTGTCGCCAAAGAAGTGAAAAGCCCGCAAAATTGTTAGCAACAATTTCTAGTTCTTATTGTTATTACAAGCTTCCTGGTAATTAGTATGTACATATTATTACTGTATTTAAAGTGTTGCCATGTCTGTCCCATGTGTTGCATTTTAACTTGCATTTACCATTTTATTTTTTTAAATCAATAGAATGAAAAACTATTCACAGCCATCATGATATCTCACCTACCATATCATTTTCATGGCCTATGTCAATCTTTCCCGAAGACAAGCTTTACTGAGAATACTAGTATAAATTTGAATTTGTATACTTACTTTTTTAACTACCAATCTTGTATCTTACAACTTACATACCGAAATTATGTTAATATCCATTTGAAGTGATTAATTATATGGTAATATTGATACCTTCATGGTGTTGTTATGTAATTAATTTAGGTAACTAAGCTATAAATAATCTGGAGCAACAATCTTGATACTTAGGAAAAAGTAGGCAATGATAAATTCCTGGTGTGCTCAATAGAGAAACTTTAGAATCTTTTCAATATGATCTCAGCTATATGGTCAGCATTCTTGGTGCAGATGACATGGACTGAAGTTTAACTGCGTGTATTTTTGTAAGTAAACCATGTATAATGTCCCCATTTGGTCGGATAATCAAATTTAGTTACGATGTACTCAGGTCAGTTGTTGTATATCTTCAACAGTTATTGACATCAAATCGAAAATTAGAATTGTAATATAAATACTTATCTGATTACAAGCTAAATAGTACTAAGTATTTATATATTCTTACTGTATTTAAAATGTCAGGGAGACTGTTTTCCTGGTGTAATGCATAAATTTACCTCATGCATAAAAGGTATCATGCAGGATTAGTTTTTTACACCAATAGCTCTCTCCTCCTACGTTGTGTCTTTTCCTCAACCCCCAAATACTTTATATACCCCTGTTTAAAATCTATCCCCTTAACAAGTGTCAAAAAAGTAAACACTCCCCTGTCATGAATTGTGCTGAAATGGCAACGTTGTGGATGGGAGGTAACTCCAGACAGCTTGAAATGGAATTCATATAGTGTGTATAGCATGCAATACAATCTTTATAATATGCCCAACAGTCTTCGTGCAAATGATAAGGATTGAAGTTTAACAATCTAAATGTTGGCAAGTAAACCAATCTGATCAGATCATCTGATGTAGTCACAATGTTTTCAGATCAGTTGTACAGTTGCTACAAATAATATAAATTTAGAATTATTAAATAAATATGCATTTTGCAGGAGATAGAGCTCTGTCCATCTGTGTGTGCACTCATGTGTGTAAGATCATTTTCCGGTCCAGTACTCTGAAACTTTTGTACAGATATAAAGCTAGTAATGTAATAGTGCCTTTTGCTATGGAGAAGTTCTCCATTCAAATACTTTTTCTGTTACCATGGAAACAGATAAACAGAAATCACAAACCATACAACAATGGAAAATAATCTACACAAAAATATCTAACAGTGGTACAATGGACTTATGTACCTGTTATATTATTGCGCGTCTTTTTAACAGCAAGGCACAGGGGATAATGTGTCATGTAGTTATGATGAAATAACGATCACAGGTGCATTAAAATTGATCATGGATTATAAAAATAATTTTTAAATTGAAAGTTTTTGAAATAACAGTAGATGCTGGATTAGTTAGTCTTTCTATTGTATAGTTTCAAACCTAAGACAGTGGCAAGTAGTGTTCCTCTGGCAATAAATATTACCACTATACGGAATAGACATGACAGGTCCAGATCCGTACCACCTAGGTTTCCAATGTAACAATTACAACACTTGAGATTTACCTGAATATATATTTCTTTACAAAATTCTTGAAAAAATTGTAATACAGAAGTAATGAAAGTAAAATTTTTCCTTTCTGATGGTATGAGGTTTTAGATGTTTTATTGCAGAGACAACAAGAGACATCCATTTAATGTTTACATACATAATGATATAATGACTATCTGTTCACCAAGGCTGGTCACGTGTGGCACTTTATAAACAAAACACTTTGAATTATGAGTGTATATAACGATTCAGTCTATATCTGATAGATTTATTATATATATGTCCAACCTATAGATTTATGGCTTAATTAGAAAATTTACTTTGTTGTACTCTTATACAACAGGCTATTTAAAAAATGAATAAACCCTATCCAACACTTATTGACAAATCATTTCTAAATCTATGTTAGCCGTGATATATAGCATATTTGTGCAATACCAGTATACAGGTTCTCCTGTTCCTGGACGGAAGATTTTATATAGGAAAATTCACTTATTGTGTTTAATTTGTTTTAATTCAAACTTGGTTAGAAGTCTTAGTAAGTTAATGTTTTACACAGTTTACATTAGGTGTACAATGTAGTTATCTTACTTTGTTTAACAAAATCATTTTTATGACATGTTACAAGAAGCAATGTAACTCAGTTGACCATTAAGGCCCTTGGGCCTTTTGTTACTGTCACTTTTCTTCTCTGTAAGAGAAAGAAAGACAGATGAGGAGTGATGACAGAAAACAGATTTGATCAGGTAGTACACAAGCATATGAGTAAACACCACAGATAGCCTTGGAAGAGCCTTTTCACCTGCAGGGGAAATTCTTTCATCACCAGTTCAGAGTTCACTGTAAGTTTACATATAAATTGTAGTCTCTTTCTCTTACACAAGGTGTAAAGATTAGTCTACATTTAACTGAAAGTTTCAAAGTAGGGAGATATAAGCTAGAGTAAGACTTGAGGTGAGTAATCCTGAACAAATGCTTAGGCACTGGTAGCTATTCTAAGTATTCTAAAGTGTACACTGTAATATTGAAATTATATTGGCCAAAAGGAGTAAAAGTTTAAAAATAGACGGATAAAGCTGATCTACACTCCCTCTCCTGTGTTTAAGCTTCCTGAGACAACTTCAGGTATAAGACTGTTTAATGTGGTGACAACTTCCTCAATGTGGTGACTTAAGAGGCTTCCTGGTGACTTAAGAGGCTTCCTGAGACAACTTCAGGTATAAGACTGTTTAATGTGGTGACTTAAGAGGCTTCCTGAGACAACTTCAGGTATAAGACTGTTTAATGTGGTGAATTAAGAGGCTTCCTGAGACAACATCGGGTATTAGACTGTTTAATGTGGTGAATTAAGAGGCTTCCTGAGACAACATCGGGTATAAGACTGTTTAATGTGGTGAATTAAGAGGCTTCCTGAGACAACTTCAGGTATAAGACTGTTTAATGTGGTGAATTAAGAGGCTTCCTGAGACAACATCGGGTATTAGACTGTTTAATGTGGTGAATTAAGAGGCTTCCTGAGACAACTTCAGGTATAAGACTGTTTAATGTGGTGAATTAAGAGGCTTCCTGAGACAACATCGGGTATTAGACTGTTTAATGTGGTGAATTAAGAGGCTTCCTGAGACAACTTCGGGTATTTGTTCATCTATGTAGTCGAAAATCTGCTGCTATAAAAAAGTTGCAGCATCAAATAGGAATATTAGTGATAACTATTTGCTGGTAGGTATTTATTTATTTATTTGGTCTAAAATAGGTTTATTGAAATTTGTTTTCAAAGTTAATTTGTGTCTCTCAATTAATTTCATAATTTTTAGCTCACCTGACCAAGAGAGCTTTTCTATTTAAGCAACTTTTTCTCAGTAAACAGCAGACCTGGCTGGTTGCTGGGATGTAGCACGACAAAGTTTGCGGAATAAAAAAGACCTGACCTTTATTTAAGGTCAAAGGGGCCAAATTTGTTGAAACATTTAAATGACTTCTTCTGATTAACCAAAAGGTGTAGAAGCGTGGTATTGTGCAGGCAAATTCCTAGAATGAAGCCCAACAAACCGTATGCAAGATCACAGGGTTCAAATTTGTTAAAATCTTAAAGTGGCAATTAAATCAAGTTTTATAAATATTTTTCAAGTCAAAAAACTTTTATGGAATTGTAGTTCTGTGCTCCTTATGAATTATTATAAGTACAACCAACATTTTATATCCAAATACAATGACACTTTGATCTAATTGGCATGCATAAACCTGTCTGGATAATGTCAACAAAAATGGCTTCCAAGTTAAGTGAGTAAAACATACTACAGGGTCTCCCAACAAACAAATAGAATTGTTTACAAGCAGCTTTGTTCCCACATGTCATTTTGTGCAATATAAAGATTCCTGATATATTTGGCACTGGCTTTCCCAAAATTTAAACTGACCAGACATTGATAAGCTAGCAAATTGATTGCATGTGCCCTCTTTGAATGCCAATGGTTTACATATCCATATATTTGTGATATAAACTCAGATTCCAATTTTGATCAATTCAGGCCCATTAGGCCTCTTGTTTGTTTATCAGACTACATTGTTTACAGGTTTTATTTCATTGATTGTTTACATAAAATATACAGTCAAACCTCATTATCTCAAACATTTATAACTTGAAGACACTGTTTAGTTTGAAGAATTGCATTAGTCCCAGTAAATCTTCACGCCAATCATTCAAACTCACAGATAACTGAAAATTTGTCATGGTCCCATCAACTAGGAGATAATGAAGTCTGAGTGTGCTATCAGTATGCAATCTGTTTATCCAATAACTCTTTGTCATTTTAAGACAGAATCCTTTGTTAATGGTGTTGGTGTAACTGACAATGCTTTATTCAATAAATTAACTGATTTTCAATTGAGTGAATTTGTTGAGTTAATTTACATTTTACTTTGTTAATATTAACAAGATTTCTCAGTTGAGTGGATGTGTTGTGTTTACTTTGTAAATGTTAACACGATTTCACAGTTGAGTGGATGTGTTGTGTTTACTTTGTTAATGTTAACACGATTTCTCAGTTGAGTGGATGTGTTGTGTTTACTTTGTAAATGTTAACACAATTTCTCAGTTGAGTGGATGTGTTGTGTTTACTTTGTTAATGTTAACACGATTTCACAGTTGAGCGGATGTGTTGTGTTAATATACATGTTTACTTTGTTAATGTTAACAAGATTTCACAGTTGAGTGGATGTGTTGTGTTTACTTTGTTAATGTTAACACGATTTCACAGTTGAGTGGATGTGTTGTGTTTACTTTGTTAATGTTAACACGATTTCACAGTTGAGTGGATGTGTGGTGTTAATTTACATGCTTGAATGGATTTCATTTCCATTTTGATCTGATCATTTTTTCTGTTCAGAAAGTTTATTTGCATCCCAAATTTTAAAGTTAATCAATAATTTCGCTTCAAAACTCTGCTCTTCCTTAATGTCAATAAATTGCTTCAAAATTCTACTTTTCCTTAATGCTTGAATGGGGAGTGGGGAATCATTTCTTAAATTAAGAAAGTTGATTTCGACCCTTAGGGACATGGGGATGGGGCCCCAAAACGGAAATTATACAATATTTTGCTTCCAAACACTACTTCATCTTAATGCCTGGGTATATTTCAACCAAATTTGGTGTGAAACATTGTTGAGGAGTAGGCCTAACTATGATATCAAGTGATCCTGAGATTGTCCTTACCAAATCTGTTTTTTTCACTTTGGTCCAAAATCCAGTATAGCTCCTCTTGAACATTTAATCTGAACTATATTTCAAGTTTCATTCACACCAATGAGAAAAATATCTGAAATTTGATTTGTTAAGGAAATGAAAAAGGTGATATGTTGCTTTTTTCCATCTGATAAAAACTTCAACATGGTTATCTCAGTAGCCATTTTGTAACATGCTTGCACAACTGTTGAACAGAATCTTTGAATTCATCAGATTTGTTAGACCTTCATCAGCAAATTCTGTGGTTTGTCCACCAATTTGTGGATTGTCAGATGACCGTTAAGGGCCATTGCCCTCTTGTTGAACATAATTGTTTTATTTTCCCTGAGAAAAACTTTATATTGACCTTGGCTGACCCCAGGTGCTGACGGGCAAGGTAAAAAAAAATGGGTCATGACCTCAATGATTTGACCCTGTACCAGTTTCATGCTAAAAGAGGCAGAATTATGTTTGGCGTTTATGACCATCTTATGGTAGACTTCCGTAATATTTCGATTCTATGAGGACTGGAATAAAAAGCACGGACCCTTATCCCGATTTGGAATATCAACACAGCTCTATATATTTTTATTCCATTCTAGTAACCCAATTTAAAAGTTTCTTTTTATCAGATATCAGATTACATTGTCCGATTATATAAACACCAGCTTGGGCAGATACTTTGATGACACAAAATCTTCGACAACCTGTTGAGAAAAACGTGACAATTGTTCAGAAGGATGTTATAATTGCCGTATTTTCTGATGTAGTTCTTAGCGCAGCCCTCGATGCAGTCGATTCCTAGACTGCTGTAACCTTTGGGTGTTTTATCTAAGCTGTAAGAACACTTGTTCCCGACGGCTGGATGGGTTATGGAGATTGAATAGTTGTACGGTTTGCTGTAATTGTGATAAATCCCAAACTCCACGTAATGTCCATCGTACTCCATCCAGCTATGTACGGGTTTTAGCGTGAACATTTTCGCCGTGCGTTTTTCTCGTCTGAAATAGTAGCTGTACGTCATACAAAACAAATTCGTCGTGCCAAAATAGTATGGTTTCTCGTTTGGATTCTGTCGCACTGGAACATGACAGGAAATACAAAGAAAATAAGAGATAGTATACGCCCCTGCTTCGATAGATGGAATGTTTATGTTACTGATTTAGACATCGAAACATTAATAAGTCGACCCTTTTCAAGTACATGTATGAAAACTGGTTAGAAATTACATATATTTTGTTTATCTTTATTGATACTGAACCATAGCAAGTAAATATAACTTCATCAATATCATCCTTACTGAACAAAAGTCTGGAATGAATAGAGAAAATGTACCTGCACACGAATGATTATTTTCTTTCCTGCCAAAAAGCCATCCGCAACAGCAACCCACCAGCATCAACAACATGAATATTGCAGGCAACTGCAGATAGAAGATTATGTTATTACTTTGGCCAAGATTGTTCACCATTTCATAATATCTGTAATGATTTATCAGTATGTATTCTCCCAATCTTCCTTTCATTATTGTTTATGAAACAGTAAAGTCTATCTCACGATTCTGATGAAATTCTCACTTGCTTGGAAGGTAGCGCGTTTTGTTGGAGACAATCGTAGCTTTGTACAATGAAGTGTTACCTTATAGAATAGAAGTTCTTATAACACACCCAGCAGAAGATTAGAGTGCGAGGTTTCGATGACTATTCTGAAAATGACGATAATTTTCATCATTCTGCATCTTTTCAAACCTTGTGTGTCGAACGAAAATCGTGATAATGGGAACAGATCCTTGAATATCGAAACAAATGGGACATGTAAACACCATAAGTTGGAGACGCAGAGATGTTGCAGCGGCTGATGTAGAAGAGTTTGTCGTGGCCTTGATTTCTAATTATGGTAGATATATACACGATGGACGTGGTCGATATATTTCTTGTTATTTAAGGACAAGACTAACTCAATATATCTGAACGTGAAATTAAACGACTTGGCAAGGTCTTTGTGACCTGATTTTGATATTCCGAAATACTCAGCCTCGTATAGAAAATCAAATCGGCCAACAGAGGGGCACACCACAATTAGGTTTCATTTGTATGTCAGTAGCCTGCTGGAAGATCTTATCACCAAACTCGACGAAGATGTTGTCAACCAGAAACTCTTATATTTCTTCTTTGAATTGGACTTATTTTCGCGAAATACGCTTCAGTATTGCTTACAACCGTATATTTGTACTACCATTCAACTTTATTGGAGAAGAAAACTCTCATAACTAAGGAACAAAGGTGTTCTTTCAGTTTAGAATGGGCTGTGATGGTGTACAGAGTGGAACGAATCAAATTTTGTTATAGAAGAAATGTTTTCAGAAGAGGTGAGGAAGATTGTTTAAAGTTCTTTATCATCCACATACTATTAATTCCACTTCTTGAGTTAACAGTATCACTATAAGACTAACCCAGATTTGATAATATAAAGAATGCTTAGTAGTTTAAACAAATGATCGGTTGATCAGGTAGACGAGCGAGCGATATGAATTCTTGTGAAGTTTAGGAATCCAATTTTATTTTTATGTAACGTTGTAACAGTTATGGAAATATCAATATACTGTCCGATAAAAAATAATGTGATAAACAAAACATTTTAATTGGAACAGAATTACCAGACGCGTCTGATAAAAATTCAATCGCTTTTTGGACATGGTAAGCTTTCAAGAAAAAGAGCTGAAGAGAAAAAAAATAGGAAAATAAAAAATGTAACTTTTTTTACAATTAAACTTAACAGAGACTTCAATAATTGTTAAATCCATGAATATGTTCAAACATGCACAAACACACGATGTTTTATATATTTGATATTTTTTTCATTTTTTTTTTAAATTCTTGCAGTAATATAATCTTACACCTTGTGACATAATAATAGTATATCTTATAGTATATCTTACCTTACAGAACCGACGATAAAATCGCCGTGTGTTAGAGCAAATATAGAAAGAACTAGCTAACAATCTGACTGAAGACTGACGGTAACCTTTTGTCACGTGATATACCCACCCGTAGTACCATCAATCTGCTGCTATCCGACATCCTTGTTTCCTATTTTGCGACCTTGTTAGCGCTTTCCAAAAAAAAAGTTCTTTAACTGCCAGTATTGGAGTTTCAGATTTTTCATTCCGGAAGACGACAATTGGTATAAACCTGAAACTATCCTGCTCTGTCACTGACTGTTGAGTACTAATATTCTGCGGGCATTAAAACCACTGCGGTGCTATCCATCAATATGTCAGTAATGTCGGTACATGCCTCGTTTCGTACAAATATGCCTACTCTATACCGATATTGAAACTACTCATTTCCTTACGTCTTACCTTTCCAGTCTAAACATCAAACATACCCCATTCCCTTCATCAGACAAAATTACAGGTACATACCACCCTGTCCACAGCGCAAAATTACAGGTACATACCACCCTGTCCACAGCGCGTACATACTTCTTTGATTCCTTGTGCGGACCCCTATCAAATCTCGTGGACTACTCAATCATAACTTGGATATTTTAAGAAAATCGTCTAGTATACAACACTTCAAATTTCATCTATACACCAAACCACACGATGATAATATATGTACCTATATATATATATTGAGTTATCTCCTAATATCTACCTCTTCCTACCTATCTCAGACCTGCTATATCCACATTCATGTGCATAGTACTGCGTTTTTACCACAAAAATCTTACACCGACACCAAATTTTAAAAATATATCTTACGTAACATTTTAGAAAATAGATACATATATCTAGAGAATCCCAACCGCTTAACCTGGTATGCAGGAGTTGCTCGTGTGATATCAACTTGTGTGTCTTTTGAACTATCTTCAAAAGACTTGCTTGTCGTCTATATGGAGAGATTTCGGGGGCAAATAGTTCAGTGTTATAAAGGAGAACATATGAAAAATCGGATTAAAAGAAACCATACCACGATTACCTTTAATTTTTATGTACCTGATAAAATTCCAGATGACTCCATCGCAGCCGGGGACCAGTTTTCTCGGAAAATAACTATTGAGGGCGAGTAACGTATCAAATTCCCCGTTAGTTGTATTACGCAACCGTCATAAACAATAGCCAAATTGCCAGCTGCAGAAGTCAAATCAGCGGCTATCATTTATCCAAACTATGTATCGTACAGTAATTTAACGAATCCATGAAATGGGTCAGAAATATAGGAAAATCGTTTTGCCTCATATCAGTTCTGTTGAAATTCTGTACAATATTGTATAAATATAAATCCGATATCCATTAAGAAGACATACAGAATAATATACTCTCTTTTCTATTAGCCACAATGTTTCTAGCACCTGGCAAACGTTATTCGCAACTAATAAGTTGAAATAGTTTACCGAATCATGCCTGGATTATGACTCAAGACGACGATTGAACCAAGAAGATAGCGTGCCTCTTTTCCAAGACATGTACTCCAAATGACCATGCACTGAGTATTCTTTCTCCGAAATTGTGGAGTTCTAGATAAAACTTTACAAAAATTCAAGATAGAACTATGCTGACATAAGAAACGCTCAAACCCTTGTCTGCAATTTATTTGTTGAGCATCCTGGAAGTGAGGAGCAATAAACAGGTTTTTTTTGTAATTTATATATTGCATTTTTAGGGAAACAGTTTGCTAAGACATGCTACAGGATTCACCTCAGATATGGAAACTCATTGATGTCGTGTATGAGCCTGAAAACAGTAAAGAGAGAATCAATATGTCAATGAAATGGTGATATAGACTCGCTATCGGTTAAATGTGGACAAACTCTAAGGAAAAGAAAGATTTATGCGGAGAGACGATAAGTATTTCAAAGTCGCTTCATCGGCGAGACGCATCCAATCCCAACCAAGGTCAATCCATTTATTTGTCAAATTCTCAAAAGGATTTCTATTCAAATAAGGTCGATCGATAGAAATCCTGTTTAGTCAGGTTTTCCGTCAGTTGTACTCTTCCCCTATGGAAATATTGATATCGCGAACGAGGTTGAGAATACTGAAACAACTGGGACATATATACACCAAAGATTGTGGACAGTTGTTCCTCTCAAGGACGAGAGAATGGCGGATGTATACATCATCGGTTGTGGAAAGATGTTCCTCTCAAGGACGAGAGAATGGCGGAAGTATACACCACAGGTTGTGGAAAATTGTTCCTCTCAAGGACGAGAGAATGGCGGAAGTATACACCATAGGTTGTGGAAAATTGTTCCTCTCAAGGACGAGAGAATGGCGGAAGTATACACCATAGGTTGTGGAAAGTTGTTCCTCTCAAGGACAAGAGAATGGCGGAAGTATACACCATAGGTTGTGGAAAATTGTTCCTCTCAAGGACAAGAGAATGGCGGAAGTATACAGCATAGGTTGTAGAAAATTGTTCCTCTCATGGACGAGAGAATGGCGGAAGTAAAGGAGCGACGCCTTTGATTTCCAGTTCTGCTGTAATTGCTAAGTGTCATGTAGAAAATGTCCATAGGTAAACGTGAAAGTTATCAACAATAACATTTCAAAACAGATTAGGCATTAATTTTGGAGACGACATATATCATCCGAAGAATATCCATATTAAAACATGAGTGAACAAAGAGTAGGAGAAAGGCAGTACAGGTTTATTTACAGCTTTAGCAAACGTTCACAACTTTACACGTGACTGAGGAGTTTAGGGCAGACAAAATGACGACAGACGCAGCACGTTTTGACTCTCAGGGGCATCGTGTACCACGTGGGTCTGCCTTTGTTGATGCAAAATACTGGTACTCCGTATACACGTGTCCCTCCTGCAGCACATCTGTAGCCCTCGCCTGGACGGATCCATACGTTTTTACACTCTTTGTTACTGTAAATCGAAATACATATTGCCTTAACGTGAATGTCACTTGATTATAACAACGCCAGCAGAATTTAGGCATTAAAATAAGTACAATATAGCTTTATCAGGTCATATACCTACCTTCTATAACCATGTACAACAGGAAATATGCACGTCATCACGCAACACATTTACAAGTTGTACTGCTCCAAACAACAATCAAAGTACTGACAGTACTGAGAGGCTAAACGTATTGAAAAATGTTCACAAATAACCGCTAAGCTATATTACTTTCCCCATACTCCTACACTTTGGAATGCAAAAATTACTAAAATAAGAGAACCGGAGGCTATTTTCCTTAATTTTCAGCGATTTTATATCTTCTTTAATTCTTATTTCAAATTTGACGACAATAATGTGAACAAATCAAAATAGGTAAAAAAAATAACAAAATACACACAACCATATATTTATCGCCAACAAGCCAAATGATAAATAGCTCTATGATGAAGTTGACTAAATAAAACCTTTGAAATACCCAAGATGTTGCAATTACTATCCTATCAATATGAGGATTTAGACAAATCGAAAGGACTTTATACCTACTTCTTTATTTTAAATATTTTGCAAAGTAATAGTCCTTTTTTTATTATAATCATATTTGTAGTTGAGGAAAGTAGATAAGATGTACACAGCATTTTAGATAGATAAAAGTGTAAGATATTACATTAAATGTATTTACATGCCTGTCTTCCTTGAAGTATCATGTTTAGACTTTTCTTCCAGTAATTATGTCTATAAAGGCATAGTTCTATGAGATTAAACCAGACTTCCATATATATACAAAATTTACAATATTTTCACTATAGCTTCTACTATTTCTGATCTCCAATGCATTAGATAATGTCACCATGACACGCTAAATGAATAAATTTGTTATGTAAATATTTCGTTCCAGTTAATTCATAATTATAAACATGAATATTTTTGGGGTTTTTTTATACGCGCTTTGTTTGAATGAATATTTTCATTTCAAGGAACTTTGATACACATTAACAAACCCTGAGAAATCAGCACAATCAACCTTCATCAAATAAAACTAAAAGATAAAAAAATATAAGTTATAACAAAGTCAACATCATGATCGATACAGTATTAAAAATATATCATTCATAAATCATGAGTACCAAATGTACCTTGCCTACGAAGCGCAAACTTTTTATCTTCAAAAACTTGAAAAAATGTCATGGCGGTGGGTGTGAAAAACCTGAAAAAGTGTCATATCGGCGGCTGTGCGCTTGGGACGAACAGTCCAATTTTGTGACGTCTAATGAGGTAAAGTGATGTTATATATTAAGACGATCTTGCCACAATGAACAGGATTAAAGCAAAATTGATGTTCTGTTTGTAAGTTTTGTTTGTTTATAAGTGCTGTTAGTTGATAACTCAAACCAAGCCCCTAGACTAGCTTCTTTTGATGGCGCCATCTCGCACGTACAGTGTTCTGTACGCTTACGTCATGTCGAGAATTCCGTAAAATATATTGTTCAGAATTTATCAATAGTTCAACCACAGTGTGCTTCTTTTTTGAAATATATAGTAATCGTATTATCATTTTTAAAAAAAATGGATGCTTTTAAAATAGCGATTTGAAAGATCGCGGCAATATTTACGCAGAAAATTGCCGCTAGAGGGCTCTTACTCTTTTCGATATTTCAGCCAATGAGAAGGCCAGGATCGGTAAATTTTGCCTGAAAGGCCGTCGCAATAGGCTATATACGTACTGAGTACGTTTAGCCTAAAAATGGAATTCGAGAATACGCTGTATATGAACATTTATTCGAATAGTGACACTGTTCAGGATACACACGTGTAATTCTGAAACTACGATATATAAATAATTATGAAATTTCTTGAATTATAGGGCTAAAACACCTCCCCATCTAGATTTTGGCATTTCTGTCCACCAATTTTGATTTTCGTCTGTAGCCTCCTTGGTTTCAAACTATGGCAAGTCAAAGTTGAATAAGTCGCTATTTATGAACATCCATAATTCGATCTATAATACTGCAGGGTAGGTAACTCTTGTGGGCTCCTGATCGGAAGTCCTCGGAATCTTCGCGTTGTTATATATAGATTATCTAACGAAGTTTACCATGAATCGGTATCTAAATATTCACAATAATAAAGTATTTTTCTGTTTAGGTTCCACAGACATCGCCTAAATTTCTGAATATACATCATGAGTCATGACATGATGCAAAATCGAACGTCAAAACATTTAGATATATCAAGTATAATCTACTGGGCATATACGTCCATAGCTATTGTCAGAACGCAGGAGTATGGTATCATATTTTTGTTTTGCCCACAGAGAGGTACCACAGGAGAGTCTTGGGTTCTCATCCTTCGAAATGCTACATAGAAGATCTGTGCGAGGGCCCACGATAATTCTGAAGGAATTGTTGACCAGGAAAATACATAATGATGACATCAAGACGATATATCAGTATGTTATTGATTTGAAGAAGAGAATGGAAGAAACTTGCCAGATCGCCGTGGACAATCTGAAGGAAGCTTAAGTGATTCAGAGAAGACACTTCAACAGAAGAGCTAAGACGTGAGAGTTGAAGCCTGGTGACAAAGGACTGGTTCTTTTACCAACTAAGGCTAATAAACTACTCGTGCAGTGAAGAGGACCTTTCGAATTTATGGAGAAAGTGGGACCAATTGATTATCGGATTAACCAGGATGGGAAATCAAAACGTTACACATCAACTTCCTGAAGAAGTATTTGGAAACGTCGGGCAACATTGCCGAAGACATTGGTGGAGTCTTGTCAGTTGTTAGGCATTGCAGAAACCTGAATGGCTTTTAATTTCAATGCAAAATATAAATATGTCCAACTTTTAAACATGAAATTCCACTGTCTGGAAGTTTTAGGTGATTTTATCATTGTAACTGTATTTCATTATTGTATTTCTTATAACTCTTAATCCCTACTGTGTCTGTGATATTTTATTGTCTGTGATGTTTACTGATTGTAAATATTGTACATTTCTGATGTCGACCACTTGTAAATAGAGTATTTAAACTCAGTGTCGTCGACCTTAAATAAAATCTTTGATTATTATTCATTATTATCATCATTTCTGCATTATATACTGAAGTTTCTGGCGCTGTAATTCGATAATTGACCTAACATAAAAAGGAAAAGCTGTGAAAAATTACCTTTATGTTAATAAAAATATTCAGTATAAATAGCTTACATGCATTCCACCGATGGATATTTGAAAGTGTTGAATGGACGAGACACCAGGCAAAATCTGGAATTAAAGATGACGTAATTTCCGGTTTGTGTAAATGTTCGTCTCTCGTCGCAAAGCTTCAGGAAGGGTGACACAACCGGTGGTATTAACCATTTACCACAACTACAACATTAATATACAATATCAGTAGCAAGGAAACAAATGATACGTCAGGTCTTGTGACTAGAATACAGCATGAACTGTAACCATTATCAACATAGACTAAATAGGGGAGGAATGCAACCTGTAGGAGCACCGGAAGAAACCATGGTGGTTGTATGATGATTGAATCACATAGATTGGGAGGCAGGGAGTCTTCTCTCGTTGCTGACTTATTGTTATTGGTATCAGTCAGTTTTTTAAAGACAAAAACATCAATGTGCAATGTCACTTAAATATAGCTGGATATTTTTTGTTAACAGTTAACGTTTAATAATGAATAGTTCCAGTCTTAAACCTGTGATATGTATGGTGATTAAAATCCGTTGAATTCATCAATACAAGGTACAGAATCATCAGTTGTATAGTGGACATCTTTATATCGTAACGTTTACCTTTGTGATGCTCTGGTGCCTTCCCATATCTCTCCACGATATTTTCTGGGACTTGCCCTACATCAAACACCAAATTACATGTATAAGATGTGTTGTGGATAAGATGATTCAATCAGAATTAAAGATATTTTGTTTATAAGATAAATCAATCAGAGGTCTTCAGTATTACTACTGTTCTCAAACAAACAGAGCCTAGAAATACGACCTTTGTAGAATATTGATACGATTCACAGGCAAATCGGAATCTGGCCAGATACGTCTGACAAACGTAACCCGGGCACATCTTGAAATTAGATAAACTTCTGTTAAAAGTAACCCGGGCACACCTTAAGATTAGATAAACTTCTGACAAAGTTAACCCGGGCACACCTGGAAATTAGATATACTTCTGACAAAAGTAACCCGGGCACATCTTAAAATTAGATAAACTTCTGACAAATGTAATCAGGGCACACCTAGAAATTAGATAAACTTCTGACAAATGTAATCAGGGCACACCTAGAAATTAGATAAACTTCTGACAAATGTAATCAGGGCACACCTAGAAATTAGATACACTTCTGACAAAAGTAACCCAGGCACATCTTGAAACTATATACACTTCTGACGAATGGAGTCTATATCATCCATCATGTTAAATCCTCTGAGTACTTACGCTGGGTTCTGCATTGCTCTTTGACGTCTGGTCAACCTGATGCCATCTTTACTGGCTACCTTTTTGAAACCAATATCGAATTCCTTGGTGTCGGGAAATTTACACGTGCTGCGAGGATCTAGACAGCTTACTGTCAGCAGGGTCGCCGAAACACACACTAACTGAAACGTTTGCACATAAATGCATTATAATATCTGAAGAAGTAACGACAGTACAGACAAGCAAATTGTCAACTTTTCGAAGCAATCTTCCCCTTTATCAAGACACAAATATTACATAAATTTCCTCACATATAGAGACTATAAAACAGATACAAAGTTATAAACTATAATCGAGAATGGTAGAGTAAAGGACCTCTTTCACGAACAATGGAATTTTGCCCACGACCCGATTTAAACCAAACCATGTGGCATTTATAGCACCCCAATACACTCCCCTAAAATAGCACTTAAAAAATTCAAAAGGCCCATAGGGCATGAATTAATATAGAATGTGTGACATCTACTGAGGGTATAAGGTAAGGTTCAGAAATGGCTCCATAACAAGGCAAGGGTTCATCGCAAGGCTTCTTGTAACCACTTATTTTGTTCATTGGAATCTATTTGTCATTTTAAGCAAACATTATTTGTCAAATTTGGCATAAGAAAAAAGTTATGATCAATTAAAAAAAGAAAAATGCTATTTTTTTCTTGATTTTTAGAACAAAGTTTGGTCTTAGGAGGAGTGTTTCAAACTCTTACGGTTTCTGTGCACCCAAGCGCTTTTAATATAATTTGACCCCTTATATTTGCTGTTCTTATACACTACATGCATCATTTTTTTTTTATAAAAACATGAAGCCGGTCCTACACGCTGCACGTATCATTTTGATAAAAATAAAAAATCTGCCTTACAAGCTGCATGCATCAATCTTTGCGGAAATAAGAAACCGGTTTCGCATACATTATCTTTTTCTCTACAAAAATCAGAAATCGGCCTCGCAACTGTACAATTACTGTAATATGGTAGACATTCAATGATACGAGTCAGCTGTAAATACAGGAACAATGCCCTTATTTCCTTGTCATGACTTACCAAGAATGACACCGACATCGCTATATCCTCTTTGGTATCCGGCCAGTCTGTACTATAGACCAGTATGTTTATAAGTCAGAAGTGAAATATAGAAGTACAGTTCAATGCATGAGTAGATCAACATCTGCGACAAATTTGCATTAAACGTTTATGTCAAATGAAGATTGTATATTTTAGCGAGGGTTACAACATGTTTGTCAATAAAGTTATTTTAATCGACAAGTTACGCCCTGTGCAACAGATCACCAGCTGGAAAGTTTGGGTCCAAATGTTCGCTAGTTCGAAACCCACTTAGGGAAGAGTGTTTTTCATTTCTCCTTCCAATTACATATCTATACCATAGTGTGACATGATCAGTAAATTCTTCATGACCTACAAATGTATGTACGTAATCTTCAGCTTTATTCATTTTGACAATGAGTTGAATTCCGTCTTCAACAGCTATAAGAAAGAATACAGATACTACAATATAAACCACATCCCTACATTAAGAAAATTCCTGACAAACAATGGTTTATTGTGTAGTTTAGCTTATAAATGGTAACTAACGACCGATGGTAGTTTGACTTATAAATGGAAACTAACGACCGATGGTAGTTTAACTTATAAAAATGGTAACTAACGACCGATGGTAGTTTAACTTATAAAAATGGTAACTAACGACCGATGGTAGTTTAACTTATAAATGGTAACTAACGACCGATGGTAGTTTAACTTATAAAAATGGTAACTAACGACCGATGGTAGTTTGACTTATAAATGGTAACTAACGACCGATGGTAGTTTGACTTATAAATGGTAACTAACGACCGATGGTAGTTTGACTTATAAATGGTAACTAACGACCGATGGTAGTTTGACTTATAAATGGTAACTAACGACCGATGGCAGTTTGACATGAAATTGTAGCTATATGATGCTAATTGTCAATGAAAACACCTGTTAAGTTTATAACAAGGAATGTCTTAACTAAAAGTTTATTGTGGAAACTGGTTGTTTAAACTGATAATTCTTGGCATCTATTTGTAAATTGTTAACGGATGGTTGATGATAAACACCTGAAGATACATCGGTGCATTGAATGAAATGCATCCGTGGTCATCCGTGACGGGTGTCAAGAGGGACACCAAGGGGTGAAACATAAATCCCAGAAAGAGAGAAGATAAAAATGGAAAGTTTGAGACCCCAAGTATTGTAATTGGAACAGCAGATCTATTTATGCTTCTTCAATGTTCCCTCCCTTGGTAGAAGCAGGGACGTATATAGGTCCTTGGTAGAAGACACGGATGAAAAAGACCGATTTTGCAGGGGTCACTTTTAGTACCCTTTGACCACTTATTCACTTTTAGTCTCCCCTGCCCCACCCCTCCACCCCGACAATCATTCAGTGAAATACAACAGACCATATTGTTGGTCTCTCAGTTATGGAAGGGTATGCCCGCCAAAAGTCTATGTATCTTTCTTACATTCCAATTCGTCTTCCTCACATATTCATGTTTACATTTGTACTTCTGTGTCACTTCATTACATGTTCATTTTGTCAACCCTTCCATATCCCCTGTTCTTCTCTCCTGTAATCAGGAACCATACAAGTGTGTTTAGATCGGACATGATGATTAAGTAAACTTGAAATCAGTTATCAAAATCAGAGACGTATATAACGTGTTATATACATCTCTGTCAAAATACAATCACTGCAAATACGTAAAGGTGTAAAAATATCATCTTTTTTTTGTTTCTGTTTTTTTTTGTGGTTTTTTTTCTACAAGATGTTGTATTTCTCATCTGAATTAAGGACTCTGATATGAATTATCTTATACTGTTTCCATGTATTTACAAAAGTGTGATATTACTTATTCTAAGTCTGCGGTGATTTCACTATATACAATTAGGGATATATAATACCGATGCATGCCTGCATTAATTGTCCATTTCTCATACATTAGTTATAATTAAAATTAGTAATATTACTAATTCGAATAAAAGATATAACGGCATGTGTCGAGTAAGTCTAAGAGGACCGTATCGGTATTTGCAAGGACGTCTCAATTCATATCTTCAAAGTGACGTATAAAGAGCGAACGAACCGGCTCATCCGCACAATGAATAGTCATTAGTTGTTTCACTGAACATTCGGTTCACCCACCTAATTGAAAGCGCGCAGATACCAAATCGGCGACATCAAAACGAAACTAAGCAAGTAACGGGCGTGATTTCAAGCAGCATGGGACACCGGGTATGTATAACTGTACAAGGTTTTATGTGGTGGTCTCGATAGTCAGTATTACTGGTATGCAGATACTAACACCCTGTAACTATGCATCTAATCATTATTTGTCATATGCTCCAATTATATCAGATATAGATAGGCGAGTACAAAAGACAAGTTTAGATACATAAGAAGTAAACAATGAAGTACAGTTGTTTCGTCCTTCTAGGACTCGTCAGTGATGCTACATCATACAGCTGTTTCATCCCTCGAGGACTCGTCAGTGATGCTACATCATACAATTGCTTCGTCCTTCTAGGACTCGTCAGTGATACAAAGGGCCTACAATTTAAACCTAGTATGAGGTGACTTGGTTGTTTTTCTGCCAGGCAGATGTTTATGATTTACGTATTTGTGTCCTGTCGCGTCAATTTCCATCGTACCTAAGATTCTTCGGAGAATAATCCTCTATAATGAGAGTTCATGCTGAAACCATCATGGTATATAAAGATTACTGGTTCATTGTCACTTATATATGTACTGCAGGTGTGTTCTTGTATAATACCCTCTCCCAACTGAAAAAAACAACAAATGTACACTTGTTGACATGCCATAAAATGCTCACAAGATTTCTATGAAAAATGCATATATGAATCAACATATCATTATTGGGAAAATGGGTATTTCCAATGTAATTACTTGTTTTAAACAAAGTAAAAACATTCATTCAAGTGTCGCCTGTACATATAATATCCTTGGCACATTTGTTTCGGATTCATACCTTGATAGCTAAGTGCTATGTCAATGATTTGCTACCAAACAGTGGGATTAAAATGCGTTCATGAAATTTTTCATGAAAGTGATCAGTGAAACACCATTATTTTTCTGAAAATTATCCACAAATCCATTTCTGGTGACATCACTGAATCACAAAGATGTTTGATTTATGCTAACAGTGGCCCAGAAGTGCACAAGTTATACATAAAATCATCATTTAGCAAGGGAATGACATTTCAATATGGGGAAAAAATCAAAATTAAAATTATGTCAAGAAAATGATGGATGTCTGTGTTTGTACATCTATTCTAAAGGGTAAAACATTTTTATTGTTGTGTGTTTGGACTTGGCACAGAAGTCAATTCCGTGGCAAAAAAATTGCAAGGAGGTGTGGCCTATTATTGATGGCTGGTTTTCATTCACTTGATAGAAGACAACATAATACTGCCGTGGAGGATGAATTGATAGGCTAATTTATAACATCAGTGAGTCACATTTCTTCAGTTTTTGTTTCTTTTGGGAAGTAATCTACGTTACAATAACCAAAATCACTGCGTCCTAGGTCCTAGGTCAGTAGTTCACATAATACAGTTTAACAAAATGGCCACCCCAAAATATATAGCGGACCAGAACAATGTCTTGGCAATATGAAAAGAAAAACCTTCCTCCTCATTGGTAGCTCGTACTTTGTCAAAGTAAATACACAACCATCTGAACTCAGGACTGACTGTCAGCAAACTGGAATTGGAGTGCAACCATAATTTTATTTTCTTTTTTTCTTAAAATTACTTTTTTTTCATGTTTTTATACTGGTCCGAATTCTGTTCATGTTAATAACAACCCCTTCCCCTCCCCTCCTCTCCCCTTTGCCCCTCTCCTCAAAATCTGGTTACAGATACTTTTAATACCTTGCTACCATCCCTTCACAGATGTGACCTCTTCTTGCATACCACTTTAAGATCAAATCTTGATGCTGGAGAAAACCTGTATTGTTAATTAACGCCTTGCCTCCATACCCTCACCATCCTTGATACTTCAAGGGTTAACATGATCGGAATCCCTGGAATTTTGGGGAAGTCCCTTCACAGGTGTGAAACCTTGTGTAATACCTATATAACAGTCCTTGGTGTTGGCCACATATACCTGTGTACTGTTAATTACCCCGTGGACCCCACCTCTCACAGACTTGTGTCATCTGTCAAGTGTGGACCCCACCTCTCACAGACTTGTGTCATCTGTCAAGTGTGGACCCCACCTCTCACAGAATTGTGTCATCTGTCAAGTGCGGACCCCACCTCTCACAGACTTGTGTCATCTGTCAAGTGTGGACCCCACCTCTCACAGACTTGTGTCATCTGTCAAGTGTGGACCCCACCTCTCACAGACTTGTGTCATCTGTCAAGTGAATACCAAAAAGATCATACTTGATATGTCATATGTCTCCTTGCAATTTTTTACTGCAGAAATTCTAACTCTAAAACCTGGATTTTTTTAAAAATAAGTACACACATTTACAAAAATATCTGCCATTTTCACAACACTTTGATTTTACTTAAAACAAAAGTCTACATCAAAATATCATTCCTGTTCTGGTGATGGTTCTGTGTCATGTAACCAGATTTGTATACTTCTAAGACATTGTAGGCATATAAATTTAAATGTATTTGTGATTCAGTGATATCTTCAGAAAACACTGCAGTCCTATTTCTGAAATACATATCCTAAAATTCCTTAATTCAGGTGAGCAAGTTTGAGGTTGTATCTGTGTTTACTGAACAACTTATCAAACAGATCTTACATTACAATACTGAATACACATATATTTGTTTAGATGTCATTCAATGTCGTAGTCTACATATCAAGAAATAAATCTTCAAGGGTCCAAAACTGATATGCCAAGGGTACGTAAAATAGCCTTCTCTTACTGAGAGTCTCCGGAGATATTACAATGTATTTTATGTAAAATAGCCTTCCGTCATTGAGAGTCTCCGGAGATATTACAATGTATTTTATGTAAAATAGCCTTCCGTCACTGAGAGTCTCTGGAGATATTACAATGTATTTTATGTAAAATAGCCTTCCGTCACTGAGAGTCTCTGGAGATATTACAATGTATTTTATGTAAAATAGCCTTCCGTCACTGAGAGTCTCTGGAGATATTACAATGTATTTTATGTAAAATAGCCTTCCGTCACTGAGAGTCTCTGGAGATATTACAATGTATTTTATGTAAAATATCCTTCTGTCACTGAGAGTCTCTGGAGATATTACAATGTATTTTATGTAAAATAGCCTTCCGTCACTGAGAGTCTCTGGAGATATTACAATGTATTTTATGTAAAATAGCCTTCCGTCACTGAGAGTCTCTGGAGATATTACAATGTATTTTATGTAAAATAGCCTTCCGTCATTGAGAGTCTTCGGAGATATTACAATGTATTTTATGTAAAATAGCCTTCCCTCACTGAGAGTCTTCGGAGATATTACAATGTATTTTATGTAAAATAGCCTTCCGTCACTGAGAGTCTCCGGAGATATTACAATGTATTTTATGTAAAATAGCCTTCCGTCACTGAGAGTCTCTGGAGATATTACAATGTATTTTATGTAAAATAGCCTTCCGTCATTGAGAGTCTCCTGAGATATTACAATGTATTTTATGTAAAATAGCCTTCCGTCACTGAGAGTCTCTGGAGATATTACAATGTATTTTATGTAAAATAGCCTTCCGTCACTGAGAGTCTCCGGAGATATTACAATGTATTTTATGTAAAATAGCCTTCCGTCACTGAGAGTCTCTGGAGATATTACAATGTATTTTATGTAAAATAGCCTTCCATCACTGAGAGTCTCTGGAGATATTACAATGTATTTTATGTAAAATAGCCTTCCATCACTGAGAGTCTCCGGAGATATTACAATGTATTTTAAAGTTAGAAGATAACATCTGCATAATCATATCTATTGTTAATTGCACCAATACACTTCATGATGATGTATGTCAGTATTTAAATATTTCACAGCAGATATGAATGATGTGATGTGGAGAGGTAAATAATTGGAGTTAAGACACTGCTTTAAACATTTTTTATTTTGTTACAGCCAAATTTTAGCACATTATTTATTTTTAACAAATAAACACAATGATGAATTTGTACATTCATAATAATTGCTTTATAAACAATACACAGAAATAGCAATTAATGTCATAATTTAGTGCAGTAATTTGGGCAAGAAAAGCAGTTTTATGAAATCAGTGCTGAAATATGTACACTGATGGTGTTTAAAGAGGCTGAAGGCCTACACAGCTGTAACTGAATACCATCAGTCTTTATCCTGTACATAAGATCAATGACTTTAAAGGCTTTCAAGAGCATGTGTGGACAAGCTACATTGAATATATTATCAACTTACAGGACAATATTATGGTTACGATGTAATCCTATTAAGTTGTAATGGGATCTGTCTTTGCATATTTGAACTAAATCATGGATTTATTGTATTGTAGGTAAACAAGATTGTGGATGTGTATAGACAACTGTGCAGGTTTCCTGACCCTGTTAATGCATGTATCTCCAATCTTTCTTCCACAAACAAAACCATCCTTAACACGCAGTGGTCACAGCATGACTTTGAAAGGAAAGAGAAGGTCAAATTTTCCCGAGACTACCTTTTGAGTGGACAGTCTGAACATATGACTGTGGACTTCAGATCTCCAAATAAAGAGATATCTAATGAGTGAGTCACATGATAACCTGGTATTATATTGATATCTTAAGTAAAATTGATGTAATTATAACATGACATTTAACATTTTGACTTAATGTAGCATAAACATGTAGCATTGATTTCATTTCGGTATGATGTTAAATAACTCATACAATTTACTCAATTGTCAATGTGACATAACATGACATATAATATTGACTCCATTGTAAATATGACTTGACATGACATATAACATTGACTTCATTGTAAATATGACATAACATGACGTATAACATTGACTTCATTGTAAATGTGACATAACATGACATATAATATTGACTCCATTGTAAATATGACTTGACATGACATATAACATTGACTTCATTGTAAATATGACTTAACATGACATAGAACATTGACTTCATAACATGGCATATAATATTGACTCCATTGTAAATATGACTTGACATGACATATAACATTGACTTCATTGTAAATATGACTTAACATGGCATATGACATTGACATTATTCTAAATATGACTTGACATGACATATAACATTGACTTCATTGTAAATATGACTTGACATGACATATAACATTGACATTATTGTAAATATGACTTGACATGACATATAACATTGACTCTATTGTAAATATGACTTGACATGACATATAACATTGACTTCATTGTAAATATGACTTGACATGGCATATAATATTGACTCCATTGTAAATATGACTTGACATGACATATAACATTGACTCTATTGTAAATATGACTTGACATGACATATAACATTGACTCCATTGTAAATATGACTTGACATGGCATATAATATTGACTCCATTGTAAATATGACTTGACATGACATATAACATTGACTCCATTGTAAATATGACTTGACATGACATATGACATTGACTCCATTGTAAATATGACTTGACATGACATATAACATTGACTCCATTGTAAATATGACTTGACAGACATATGACATTGACTCCATTGTAAATATGACTTGACATGACATATAACATTGACTCCATTGTAAATATGACTTGACATGACATATGACATTGACTCCATTGTAAATATGACTTGACATGACATATAACATTGACTTCATTGTAAATATGACTTGACATGACATATAACATTGACTTCATTGTAAATATGACTTGACATGACATATAACATTGACTCCATTGTAAATATGACTTGACATGGCATATAACATTGACTTCATTGTCAATGTGACATAACATGACATATAACATAGACTCCATTGTAAATATGACTTGACATGACATATAACATTGACTCTATTGTAAATATGACTTGACATGACATATAATATTGTCTCCATTGTAAATATGACATAACATGACATATAATGTTGACTCCATTGTAAATATGACTTAACATGGCATATAACATTGACTTCATTGTCAATGTGACATAACATGACATATAACATTGACTCCATTGTAAATATGACTTGACATGACTTCATTGTAAATATGACTTGACATGACATATAATATTGTCTCCATTGTAAATATGACATAACATGACATATAATATTGACTCCATTATAAATATGACTTAACATGACATATAACATTGACTCCATTGTAAATATGACTTGACATGACATATAATATTGTCTCCATTGTAAATATGATTTGACATGACATATAATATTGACTCCATTGTAAATATGACTTGACATGACATATGATATTGTATCCTCTGTTATTATTTAATACTAAGTGTTATATTTTACTGCTTCTGTGCACTGTCAGTTATTCATACTTAGGTATTTGCTATTTTAGCTAGAACTGCAAACATCTTGAAGAATTGACTACCAGGTATCTTTCAATTAAACCCACAAAACTAAGAATTGATGATATTTTGTTGTTATATTACAACCTAATCACCATCTATACTAGTACACGTAGTCTATATATGTTATACTCCTGATATCTCAAAACTGACTTCGCTCTTATAACGGAAGATATGCTTCATTTCAGTTCAGCTTTGAAACTTGCTTTGGTTGATTTCCAGGTGTGATGAATTGAGTTGCTCTTTTGACAAATTTACTGAACTGTAAAGCATGAATTTGACCAATAGCAAAAGATTCAATGCTTGTGTTTCAGTTAAGATAGTTTTTTTTCAAATGTTCAATATTTTGAACAAATCTAAGCCAGCAGTTACTAGAAATGATGTAAGTGTAATGGCCTGGTTGGAAAAAGCAGTCTAACATCTACAGACATCCTAATTTTCTCAGGTATTATTACTGTAATTGAGCGATGATTTTATCCAGATTGTGGAATAAAGAGTCTCCATCAGGATCTTTGAGAGCGGTAGTTAAAAAGGTCACTAAGAAAGAAGAGGATAAGTACTTTATAGAGGTGGGTTATGTGACAAGTCATGTAACATATGTCATACATAGAAGTCATGTAACTTATGTCATACATAGAAGTCATGTAACGTATGTCATACATAGAAGTCATGTAGCGTATGTCATACATAGAAGTCATGTAGCGTATGTCATACATAGAAGTCATGTAACGTATGTCATACATAGAAGTCATGTAACGTATGTCATACATAGAAGTCATGTAACGTATGTCATACATAGAAGTCATGTAACGTATGTCATACATAGAAGTCATGTAGCGTATGTCATACATAGAAGTCATGTAGCGTATGTCATACATAGAAGTCATGTAGCGTATGTCATACATAGAAGTCATGTAACGTATGTCATACATAGAAGTCATGTAGCGTATGTCATACATAGAAGTCATTAACGTATGTCATACATAGAAGTCATGTAACGTATTTCATACATAGAAGTCATGTAACGTATGTCATACATAGAAGTCATGTAACGTATGTCATACATAGAAGTCCGGTAACGTATGTCATACATAGAAGTCATGTAACGTATGTCATACATAGAAGTCATGTAGCGTATGTCATACATAGAAGTCATTAACGTATGTCATACATAGAAGTCAGGTAACGTATGTCATACATAGAAGTCATGTAACGTATGTCATACATAGAAGTCATGTAGCGTATGTCATACATAGAAGTCATTAACGTATGTCATACATAGAAGTCATGTAACGTATTTCATACATAGAAGTCATGTAACGTATGTCATACATAGAAGTCATGTAACGTATGTCATACATAGAAGTCATGTAACGTATGTCATACATAGAAGTCATGTAGCGTATGTCATACATAGAAGTCATTAACGTATGTCATACATAGAAGTCAGGTAACGTATGTCATACATAGAAGTCATGTAACGTATGTCATACATAGAAGTCATGTAGCGTATGTCATACATAGAAGTCATGTAACGTATGTCATACATAGAAGTCATGTAACAAGTTTATATAGTACACTGAAGTTGTGATATTCTTGACAATTCCTTTCATGCACTTGTATGCCAAGGATAAAATTAATTTTGTCGCTTTTAGATGTGAACACAAACAGAACAGTATTATACTTTGCAGGGTCATGAACTCTTGATCTATTGTTGACTGTTACAACTCATAAAGCTCTTGTTATGTATGTATGGATTGTCTCCCCTTCTTGATAATGCATCTAACACTGTCTGTAACATTGGTTCTTTTATGCTGAGAGTATATGATTTCTTACAGATTTGGAAAGGAACACACAAAAGTCAGTGTATTGATGCTCTAGCTCAGTCTAAACATGGGAAGATCTATGAAAATGATGGTATGATATTGCTTCCTCTCATCACCTCTATTTATCTGGATGGCATTGACAATTTCTTTATACTCTCAAGATTGAAGATGGGGACATGATTTAACTGTTTTTGGTCTTTCTTTCTTTCTTTCTTTCTTTCTTTCTTTCTTTCTTTCTTTCTGTCTTTCTTTCTTTCTTTCTTTCTTTCTTTCTTTCTTTCTTTCTTTCTTTCTTTCTTTCTTTTCAATGTAAAGAGTTAATGCTTTCATATGACATGTATATTTCTGTGGATGAGACATGTCATGTAATACCACATTTGATGACCTTGACCCTTGGCCTTGACCTTTTGACCTACTTATTAATTCTAGGGTCTACATCAAAAACCTGAAATTTTTCCATCAGTGAACATTTGTCCAAGTTACAGAACTTTGAAATATTAAAAATTGTCAGTTTCTTTATTTCTGTCAGATAAGTTAGAATTTAACCGTTAAGTTTGGATCAAATTTTATGGTTTTATATTTGATTATGGCTTCAGTCTATCTATGGCCATACTTATCTTCAGATGGGTCATACATACCTTACACATTCATAAATGTTGAAAGGCAAAGATAATTCTCGGTGCATAGGATGTGATGAGTCATTCACCGTTAAATATTTTTTGTTGGACTGCATTGACCTTCTGTCTACATGAGAAAATTTTTATTGTAACGTTACAAGTCTAAAGACCCTTTTTGAAACTGTTTAGATTTATAAAATTCTAGGTTATCTGAAAGATGTTGGTCTATATTATGGACTATGACTTGCCATTTTAATCTTTTGTGTTAATGTAACCATTTAAGACTTTAAGCATTTGTCTTTTACCTTTTAGTTTGTGTGATGTTGTTTCCTTTTGGATTCTGTGTCTTTCACTGGTTGATGACCCTAATGACCTTTCATGTGTTGAGGAGCTGTTAAGAATGTAATATTGAAAATTATTATTATCTATGGAAAAGATATAGGACTGAAAGCCTCTGAAGTGTTGATCAACATGCAAAAATGTCTTCCAGTAGAATGTCTTAGCTTTTAGGGTCTACTTCTTCCTGGAAGGTAGAAAGTTTTACTAGGTTTTTGAGCGTAATTTGTTTAACTTACCTGGCTGATCTCAAGGGACTTATGGGCGGGGCCAAAATGGGTCCTAATGAATAAAATCTACAAATTTTCCCCAACACCCACACATGGTAGAATCAAAAGCTCTTTACAAATGAAGGGTCTGAAGGTGCTTTACCAAAATAGTGAATTTCATGACCCAAGGGTGGTGCAGTTTCCCCCTAGGGAAGGGGTAAAGTGACGGTCAGGGGCCCCTTAGCCTCTTTTTAAACATTGGTCATGAAGTTGTTTATTTTCTGTTGGAAATAAAATGGAAAGAATTATTAGTATCAGGTGGCATTTTTTTTATTTCTATGCATATATTGACTCAGACTGACCCACAAGGACTAAAATCATCTCACTCAAGACTTACTTTCATCAATGTCATAATTTCTTTTTCATTACACGTGACAGCTACTTATCCTATAAACCTTGTATTATTTGCTTACCTCATATAAGTGTCAAGGCCACTTGGCTTGTTGTATAAAAATCAATAATTTGTTTTCTTTGAAATAAAATGAGGTGGATAAAATATTTGAATGCTTGAATTTATGAAGTTCAATTGTCTTTCTGAGCATTTTATGATATCCTGAAACATGTAAATGAGAATGTATTGAATAATACAATGATTATTTTAACATTTTTAGACCAATTTGGGAGTTTTGTTTGGTCATACTCGGAGAAAAGCCTGCTTTACATCGCTGAGAAGAAACTGCCTAAGTCCATATCTTACTTTGAGCGCGAGAAAAAAGACAAAAGCAAGGAAGAAGAAATATCCAGGGTAAGCTGCAAAACAAGGACATAAGCTGTATATGTTTATTGGCAATCACGGGACTCGATATTCCTTTTGTGAATAATGACAGTATCTATCATAGTTCATTCAGTGTTGGTGTGTCGTGTGGTCATTAAACAGTTTGATATTGACTCCAGAAGTAATGGCTTCATTACATTTCAGGGCACAGAACATTTTTACAAGGAGGACTGGGGGGAACAACTGACAAGTAAACACCTCAGTGTTATCTGTATTCTGGACCTGGAGTCGGAAGATATCCGAGTTCTGTCCGACATTCCTGAAGATCTTTTCCTTGGACAGGTAAAATCAATGGATGCCATTTGTTTCGCTACTTTGCCGAAGTATTTGTGTTGTTTACAGCATTATCTGTGTTCAATCAGTTCATACGTCACTGGGTGATATCAAATCACTAACATGTTTATCTTGTAACAGTTATTTTGAGTGATTTGTCCCTTATGATGCTTTCATGGACTAGATGTCATAAAAATAGCAATGCTGAGAGAAAAAATTAATATAAAACCTGAAACCAGTTTTTGTTCATTTACATTAAAATGATACTCAGCACAAGTTAGAATTTCATAATGTGTTTTTTAGCTCATCTGGCCAAAGGGCCAAGTAAGTTTATGCAGTGGCAGAGTGCTTGTCATCCAAAATGTCATGATATTTGGCTGGTAGTTAAAGATGAAGCCTGACAAGGTTTACGAAAAGAAATAACCTTGACCCTTATTCAAGGTCACAGCAGTTGACTTTGTTAAAATATTTAAATGATTTCTTCTGACTAACAAAAAAGCACAGAATCATGGTATTTGACTGAAAGGTTCCTTGGATGATGCTTGACAAATTTTGTGGAAAGAAATGACCTTGACTCTTATTCAAGGTCACAGGGGTTGAATTTGTTAAAACCTTTAAAGAATTTCTTTTGACTTACCAAAAGACAAGGAAGCATAGTATTTGGCTGATAAATTTCTAGGTTGAAGCCCAACAAAGTTTGCAAAAAAAATTACCTGGACCCTTATTCAAGGTCAAATGGGTCAAATTTGCTAAGAGCCTTAAAACAAATTCATTTGACCAACCAAAAGGTGCAAAAGCATGGAATTTGGTTGATAGATTCCAAGGATGTCACCTGACAATGTTTCTGAAAAGAAATACCTTGACCCATGTAGAAGGTCACAGGGATGATATTTGTTGAAACCTGTGAAAAACAAAAGCCAGAAAAGCAAGATATTTGGTTAAAGTGTTTCAAGGTCAAAGCCAAACAAATTTTGAGAAAAAAGAAATGGCATTTACCTATAATAATACTGTACAGATATATACCTAGAATGGAACCACAGTGAGTTTGCTTTTTATTAGCCAAACAGTGGGAAACATTTGTTTATGTTTCTAATCAATGAGAAATAAGCCAAACGAAGCAATGGAGCTCTTATCCCAGCGGAAATTATAAGTGATCAGGGCACATACCTGTGTATTTACCTGATGTATTGCTTTAAGTCTATAATCCAGTCAGTGATGTGCTATATTTAGATAGTGTCATTTAATATGTCAGGGATATTTCATCTAATTTTGCCTGTCCAAACTGACCTTAGGATAGATATTTTGATGTGAACGATAGTTTTTAAAAGTCATTAGAAAGTGTTCTAAAAAGGGACAAAACAGCCAGAAATTTGGCAATTTGTGCAGAATATCAGTTCAAATTTTACACACACATGTTAAATGTGTGACGCTAGTCTTATTAATTATGTAAGCTATCATAGTGATAACTATGTAATACTTCCATATTATAACAAGTCAGTCTTGTCTTCTTCCTCAGGCTTGCTGGGCACCCTCAGACTCTGGTGTTCTATTTGTAGGCTGGGATGTCAACCCATACAGGGCTGGTCTGATTTACTGTCCTATTAGGAAGTAAGTAACTTATTTCAACATATAAGTCTCTGATATCACTTTAATAAAACACAGTACATAAATGTTGGAACATTGAGAATGGCAAAAATATTGTCTATTCCAGTTTCACATCGGTATGATAAAATCTTATTTTCATGAATGTTTGTAAAAGTTATGTGAAAATCAGAATCTTTCATTTTCATTTCGTGTCAGATTTAAGGAACTCAACCCAATTGTTCAGAAAGTCAGCATTAAAGTTAGAGGGTTCAGATTAGACAGGTTGTCAAAACTAAAGGGTTTAAATATGAAAGGTCATCAGGAAGTCAGGGCTCAAATAAGACACGTTATAAAAACTACAGGATTTATATATGAAAGGTCATCAGGAAGTCAGGGCTCAAATAAGACACGTTATAAAAAACTAAAGGGTTTAAATATGAAAGGTCATCAGGAAGTCAGGGCTCAAATAAGACACATTGTAAAAACTACAGGATTTATATATGAAAGGTCATCAGGAAGTCAGGGCTCAAATAAGACACGTTATAAAAACTACAGGATTTATATATGAAAGGTCATCAGGAAGTCAGGGCTCAAATAAGACACGTTATAAGAAACTACAGGGTTTATATATGAAAGGTTGTCAGGAAGTCAGGGCTAAAATAAGACAAGGTGTCAAAACTACTGGGTTTATACAGTATCAGAAAGGATGTCAAGAAATTCAGTGTTCAGAGAAGGTATTTTTGAAAGTCAGGTTTCAGATTAGACAAGGTGTTATTTACCTCAGGATTTATATTATGGAAATATTGGGAATAAAATTAGGATTTTTAGTTAAAAGGGTATTAGAAAAGTTTGGTTTCAGATTAGACAGGGCTTCATTAAACTCAGGGTTTATATTCTGGAAATGTTGGGAATAAAATTAGGATTTTCAGTTAAAAGGGTATTAGAAAAGTGAGGGTTCAGATTAGACAGGGTCCCACAGATCACTTCATCCTAGGTCATAAAAGGTCAACATGATTTATCTTACTCTTCTTTTACACAGGTCATGTATTTATCATCTGGACTTCAACTCCTCTGTATTAAGTAAGTAAAATTATTTGTTTCCCGGTAACATTTCATATGTAACATAATAAATGTTTGCCATGTTTCTCTGTACAGCAGCAACTTGTTGTGTATTTACAGTGAACTAACTTGGATTTAGAATTGATGAAATGGACATGTTTGTCACTCAGCCTTAATATTTTCTTACACAAATAGAAATGGTCAGTGAGGAGGGTCGTAGCTGTAGAAGTATAAGGGTCAGTCCTGACCAGTCCAAACTGGTTTATCTAGATAATGACATTGGTGGACCTCACATGCAGGGAAGTCGATTAATGTTGGTAAGTTGTGGAATCTTAAAGAATAGTAATCAAAATGTCATATTAGCTGTACATCATTGACGTAGGATAATTAGACCTAAATGTGTTATAATTTTAATGATATGGTTTGTACAATCTGTTGTTTGAACCAATATGATTTAGACAGTATCTTCTAAAATTTGTATTTTGAAACACTGTAATATATGGGGCCAAGTGATTTTATATCATGCATTTGTTTGTCTATATGCAGTATGACTGGGGTTCTGGAGACCTTTGTGTAATGTCTGACACAGTGGCGGCACCATCAGGTATAAACTTTTATTATTGTCATACTGAAAAGTGTTGAGACCTTTATGTGATGTTTAGTGTAAGACCTCTATGTGATGTGTTAGTGTAAGACCTCTATGTGATGTTTAGTGTAAGACCTTTATGTGATGTGTTAGTGTAAGACCTTTATGTGATGTTTTAGTGTAAGACCTTTATGTGATGTTTAGTGTAAGACCTTTATGTGATGTGTTAGTGTAAGACCTTTATGTGATGTGTTAGTGTAAGACCTTTATGTGATGTGTTAGTGTAAGACCTTTATGTGATGTTTAGTGTAAGACCTTTATGTGATGTTTAAGTGTAAGACCTTTATGTGATGTTTTAAGTTTATGTGATGTTTATCCTTTATGTGATGTTTAGTGTAAGACCTTTATGTGATGTTTAGTGTAAGACCTTTATGTGATGTTTAGTGTAAGACCTTTATGTGATGTTTAGTGTAAGACCTTTATGTGATGTTTAGTGTAAGACCTTTATGTGATGTTTAGTATAAGACCTTTATGTGATGTTTAGTGTAAGACCTTTATGTGATGTTTAGTGTAAGACCTTTATGTGATGTTTAGTGTAAGACCTCTATGTGATGTTTAGTGTAAGACCTTTATGTGATGTTTAGTGTAAGACCTTTATGTGATGTTTAAGTGTAAGACCTTTATGTGATGTTTTAGTGTAAGACCTCTATGTGATGTTTAGTGTAAGACCTTTATGTGATGTTTAAGTGTAAGACCTTTATGTGATGTTTAAGTGTAAGACCTTTATGTGATGTTTAGTGTAAGACCTTTATGTGATGTTTAGTGTAAGACCTTTATGTGATGTTTTAGTGTAGAATCTTTATGTGATGTTTAGTGTAAGACCTTTATGTGATGTTTTAGTGTAGAATCTTTATGTGATGTTTAGTGTAAGACCTTTATGTGATGTTTTAGTGTAAGTAGTGATGTTTTAGTGTAGAATCTTTATGTGATGTTTAGTGTAAGACCTTTATGTGATGTTTTAGTGTAGAATCTTTATGTGATGTTTAGTGTAAGACCTTTATGTGATGTTTTAGTGTAAGACCTTTATGTGATGTTTGAGTGTAAGACCTTTATGTAATGTTTAGTGTAGAATCTTTATGTAATGTTTAGTGTAAGACCTTTATGTGATGTTTTAGTGTAAGACCTTTATGTGATGTTTAGTGTAAGTGGTTTAGTTATAATGTAAGATTTATATGTGTTATCTTTTACATTATTTTTAAGCTGATGAATTTCCTGGTTTATGTCTACTTGATCTTCCAAAGCGGTGCTGGAGTACAGACAGTTGTAGAATAGTGACTAGCTCTATCTGGAGAAGTAATGTGGTAGGTAACACATATGGTAACAAATATAAAAATAGGAATTGGTGGCTGTATATTGTTAGTTATATTACTGGTCTTAATTAGATACAATATAGGCCAAGGTATTTTGTTATGTTGCTGGTCCTAAAAAGATATAAGACACTGTAATTTGTAATGTTACTGGTCTTAAGTAGATCAAATATAGGCCATGGTCAGTTTGTACGTTACTGAAGTTGATTATATATAAGACATTGTTACTCATTCATAGCCAATTCTTACTGGTCAGATTTGACATTGTAGCCACAGCTTAAGTCATTAGAAGAGTTGTGATAGATTATGTCTAGGCCCTAACTCTGTATTACAGTTGATAGGTATGACACCATGTTAGGCCCTAAATCTGTATTACAGGCGATTGATATGACACAACGTTAGGCTCTAACTCTATTTTACAGGCGATTGGTATGACACAGTGTTAGGCCCTAACTCTGTATTACAGGCGATTGGTATGACACAATGTTAGGCCCTAACTCTGTATTACAGGCGATTGGTATGACACAATGTTAGGCCCTAACTCTGTATTACAAGCGATTGATATGACATAACATTAGGCCCTAACTCTGTATTACAGGCGATTGGTATGACACAGTGTTAGGCCCTAACTCTGTATTACAGGCGATTGGTATGACACAATGTTAGGCCCTAACTCTGTATTACAGGCGATTGGTATACGATCATGGAATGTGGACATGTATAATGTCAAATTTCACTACACATTTTGATAAGACAATCACACAAGGACTATCCCCGTTCATTACGTCAAATAAATGACTGTAGGACTTGATAGGTATTCTTTGTTTACATCCATGATATAACAAACATAAATCTGTAGCTATAAGTCTCAGTCCACACTCGGCATACTGATATGATAATGCTAACTTTCACCATTACACAAGCAGACATGTGCTATTTTTAGGCTGACTTTCTTTGTTACTATCCAACATGATCAAGAACAAAATTAATCTGCCATTGTTTAACAGTCAATGAACATCTCAATATCCCAAACAGGCCATTGCTGATAAGTAGCATCATGTCTTGTTGGGACGTTTTTAAAAACATGATTTTGGATTTTCTCGAGCATAATGATTGACGCAGAAATCAAATGAGTTCAACAAAATTTATATATGTTTATTCAGACTGACCATAGGTTTACAGTATATACTGAATTCAGAGGCGATGGAGATTCAAAATTGTTCAAATGGAGGGGCTGATCTCCTCGGAACAGGGCAGAGACATAAAGGAATATGTAGCATATTCTTTCAAGTCATTTTTCATATGAAGGATTGTCAGGATTTTGTCCAAACATGGTCTGAGGCATCCTTGAGTAAATGGCACTGAATTTGGTATTGATTGTGATCCTGACACCCCCAACCTTAGAGTCAAGGTACAGGCCCAGTAGAATAAAATATCAATATACTTAGTCATTCTATTCTGTTACGATAAAAGTATACCAACCATATTTGTACAAATTGAGGGAAGGGGAGACAATTTTCATAAATAGTGGATTTCTGAACCTTTGGCTTTAGAGTTCAAAAATCCTTATTTTTTAGGGAAAATGTAATGATACGATTGTGGTGAAAAAAATTTCAAAGTGAAAGTAAAAATATCTAGGTTAGAGATACAGGCCCTATGGGCCCTTTATTTGTTTTACGTGTTTACTGATTAACCAATGAAATCACCATTTACACTTTGTGATGAAACATCTGTTGAATTTTGTTTTTCAATTTCTAGGTGGTTCTTGTAATTGACGTGAGAGACAAATCTATGAAAAGAATCACTCAAGGTGAGTTTAATAGGTATTGCAATTAGATAAGGTATGATTTGTGTTGATATATAAAAGTATTGTAAATACCTTGAATCCGACTATGATGTAGTTCAAAATAATTTTTTTTCAGCTTTATGAAGATAACCATGCAGAATGATATTTCTGGTCATCTGACTTAAAGGGTCAAGACGACCTATTGCTATTGTCTGATGTTCGTCATTGTGAGGTGTGTGTCATTGCCATCCATTGACTTTTTCTTCAAACACTAGTCCTGCTGAACATCTGAGTAGATTACAACCAAATTTGGTCGGAAACATCATTGGGAGTAGGCAATAATTTCTTAAATTCAGAAAGTTTATTTGACACCTAGGATTTTAGGGCAGGGTCTCAAAACGGAAAGTAGGACAATATTTTGCTCAAAAATGCTACTCCTTGTTAATGCCTGTGTAGATTTCCACCAAATTTGTTCTGATACGTTATAAGGGAGTGGCAATGAATTGATCCTGATCCAAAATCCAGCATAACCCATCTTGAACAAATAGTCTGAACTGCTTCTCAAATTTCATTTACACCTTTGAGAACAATTTTTGGGGTTCAACTTGTTAAGGAAAAGAAACATATGTTGTAATTTTTTCAGTTTGATCAACACTTCAACAAGTTAACCATAGTAACCATTTTGTAATATGATTGTACAACTGTTTTTCATGAGCAGAATCCATCATTTATTAGGTTTTGATACTGTCTAGGAAGGTTAAAAAAAATGAATTCAACATATTTGTGGCCATCATGAGCTTTGACAATAAAAGTTTTTTATTACTATATTTTGAGATACCCTGAATGGATCATTCTCAAGTTTTGTATGTAGGTTCCCCTTGGTCTCATGTGCCTAAATGATTTTAGGATTTACCATAAAAACAAAATGGCTCAGGGACGGCCATATTGGATTTTGATGGTGAACTTTTGTTATGCTTTTTCATGAGAAATACTTTATGGGTCTTTCTCAGTTTCATAGAAAGGTAACCTTTTCTCCTACGTTGTGCCCTTTTGGATTTTGGGACTTGGATTTGACAATTAATGATTATTGTTGCAATTTATTAAGAGGAGTGTTCATATTTTAAATAATTAAGAAGCAAAAACAATGGAAAGAAAGAAAAGAAGGGAAAAGATCCAAGTTAGAATGGAGATGAGACAAAATGGGTGCAAGGATTACCCTTCAATCTCTTGTTTCATTTGTAGCTTGCACTGAAAGAATGTTTTCATACCTTCAATTGTTGAAGAGCGTTGATTCACTTTCGTTCTTATTTGATTGTTCTTTCTCAGGAAATAAATCTTATGGAGTGATGGATGTCAATCAAGATAAGATGGTGTTATGTTGCTCTTCTCCCAATCAACCTCAACACCTGGTAAAATATCTATTTGTCTTAACAATAATTAAACCTGATGTGTGTCTTTTTGTCCGTCATTTATACAGGCCCATGGCAATAATACTCTTAATAGAGATACAATATCATACAACTGTAACCAAATACAACCAAATTATTCAATTGTTTATGAAATATTCAAAATCTGTGAGAAGGTTGAAAAGAGGATTAAGGTCACATAATTTGAACGTTGAAATAGATCATTTTCAGGACTCAATTCCTTTTTTTTTTTCCAAATTAATTACAAAAGTAATAGAATATCACTAAATACTTGAACTGCCTTCTAGTGGATCAGAAACAGACCCACAAAGAATCCTTAAAACATTCTTATATACTTGTATATTGTAAGGCTGTGGCTGAACTGCCTTCTAGTGGATCAGACCTAACAATGATACCCGTGGATGGAACACCTACATCAACAGATTCTACTTATGAGGTGCTGACAATGATACCTACAGATGACAGGACACATCAACAGTATGGTAAGGAGTAATGAGGTTTTCATATTGTTGGTACTTACCTGAAATAATCCTGAAATGGTCCTGACCAAGTGTCCTTATTTTGGGTTGTTCTGAAATTGAATATGGGCGCTGTCTTGAAAATTTCATTTTCAATCATCAGTGCCATTGAGGTAAAATTTTGTGGAACAGCTGAAATGTGGAGTGTTTTTCTCTTTGCTGATAAAATATTTCATACTGTTTTAATCATTTGACTGTAGATCTACTTCTGATGGTTTTATATCAGAGTTACATGTCTGTCTTTATTGTGAAGACCCATTGCCCTCTTGATGTAAATTATGGTCTGTTGTAGGTAAAATGGATTATGAAGCTGTCCTGGTTATGCCAACAGAAGTAAAACCACCTTTGATTGTTTTTCCTCATGGTACAGTATCACTTATTTTCTTCAGTATGTAGAACAGTACTAGTATGGACACATTTGATTCTTGTTTTCTCAGATCTGTATTTGCTGGTAACATGTTACTATCAAGCAAGGCATCTCCAATGCTAAGTGACCAGCTGTTGACTTAACATTGTTTTTAAAGTGAATTTTCCTATATTTCTTACATTACAGGAAAACTGAAGTATTAAAGCTTGGCCCACTACAAGCATTTCATTGAATCGGAACATGTAGTCAAATATTTGATTAATCAGAATACTACAAGTAATTTATTCTATGACAAATTATCATATAAAATTGAAATTCACCATCTGTGTCTAAGGTCAGGATCTTTCTAGGTAGCATGTCTGTTTATAAAGCCTGGCAGAAAGTCTTGCTTACTGATAGGTCCAATAATTCTGTGCATGAATGTTGCTTTAGGTCTGGCTTGAACAATTGGTACAGTGGTATGATCAACAGAATCAAGTGTGTTCTTAGCCTTTAGTAGTCGCCTTGAGTCTACATTAACAATAAAGTTATATGTCACCTACATTTATTGTCTCCCTTTGTGATGTACAGTATATGATAGTCACCTTAATTGTCTCCCTTTATGTAATACAGTATATGATTGTTACCTTAATTGTCTCCCTTTATTATATTTACAGTATGAGTCGCCTTGATTATCTCCCATTATAACATGTATATACAGTATATGATAATCAAATTGATTGTCTCCTTACATGGTATATATGAGATTACATCCAGATTTCTCTTATGCTTTTACACAGGTGGACCCCATACTCTCTTCACTACATCATTTATGCGTTATGTTGCTGGATTTTCTGCCTGTGGTTTTGCTGTTCTCATGGGTAAGTAGTGGTATTTGAAACTTAAGTCATATCAGTCAATTAAGGAATATTGGGTATTAAGATGTTATTGTCATAAATGCTTTCCCACCCCCCTACTCCCCCTCATTGAAATGTCATTTTAAATGATAATTTTATGTAAAATTTGTGCATTTCTGGGCCACTGATAGGCTAACTCAAAGGTGTCTGTGATTCAGTGATGTCTCCAGAAACAGAAGCATAGACATGTTTACGATACATGTTTGTATTTGGGGTGAGCAAATTTGAGGTTGTATTTGTGATATCTTTCAGAAAAATGCTAGTGTTTCATTTATCATTTTAATGAATAAATTTCAAAGCAGGAATATATTTCAGTACTATTATAAATTTGTTTGGTTGCTTGATGTAGCATTGCTACCAAGATACGATTATTCAGGAGTCTGAGACTTATGTGCCGAGGATATTTACAGTGAATTACAGAGGATCTCTTGGATTTGGAGAAAACAACTTGCGGTCCTTACCAGGTTTTATCGGAGATCAAGATGTGAAAGATGTCCATGTAAGTTTAATCTGCCAAAGTAAATACACTCTCAAACATTTCACTTACCTGGACAGGTATATCACCACTTTGTTCAGTGAGTGATTTCCTGGTCTCCCATAACCCTTTTGAAGTACAGGAGAAAAATAGAATCTTTTACCCCTGTGTTTTATAGACAGGGATATATCAATCCGAGGGGTATTTTTAAGTTTATAGCTTGAGGCTTGCCGAGATATCCCTGTCTATAAAACTCAGGGGTCAAAAATGTTATGCATGAATTAAGACAAGAAACCCAACAGGGTTAGAGAAAAATAAACACTCTCTTCAAGGTAAGACTGTTCTGGAAATAGGTTCATAAATCTCTCCACATTTTTCAAGTCTGAGGTTTGGCAACTGAAGAAGGATAAGAAAATATTTTGTTTTGTGTTTTCTGCCTTTTTCAGATTTATTTTTCCTTTTACTTTGGGCCTAACTTAGTCAGACTTGTACTACACATTATTTTCTCTCTAACTTGGTTTTTTACTCCTACTAACTCAGTGTGACCTGTACTGTGAGTGCCCTTGAGTCATTTTCCCTCTAACTTGGCTTTGACTTTGACTAACTCAGTGTGACCTGTGCTGTGAGTACCCATGAGTCATTTTTCCTCTAATTTGGTTTGTACTGTGAGAACCCTTGAGTAATTTTTCCTCTGACTTGGATCTCATTCTGACTTACTCACTTTGATTGTATTGTAAATAACCTGGAGTCAAACATGCTGGCTTTAATGAGAGACAGCTTTCTTCTTACTCTGACATGTACAATAAATTGCATTGAGTCACTCACATTTACTCGTACTTTGAGTCACTGACTTTTACTCGTACTTTGAGTCACCTTTAATCCCTCTGACTTTACTATGAGTGTATAAATTCTGTAATATGAATGTTTGATGACAGGCTGCTGCGGAGGCTGTTGTCCAGAGTGGTCGTGTAGACGGTAGTAAAGTGGTTGTCTTTGGCGGATCTCACGGTGGATTTCTGACAACACATCTTATTGGTCAATATCCAGTATGTATATAAAACTACTGCTAATAAAATAAAACAAAAGTTTCTTTCAATATCCTAAGTACATTAATGACTGTTGTATCACACCTTCATTAACATTAAGTAGTAAGTATGTAACAGTGTTATTTTTCATGACTTTGTATCTGGTATATGTATATGAAAGTGCTGTAAAATTTTCAGTTATCACACCCCCTTTGTCAATATCTCCTGTCCTTTGTCATTCAGTATGTATATGTATATATATATATTACACATCATTCCTTTTAGTTTCTAAATAATTCTAGTAGTTGCTGCAGTCAATAGTTTGGTATATAAAGCCCAGCATCTGATTGGCAGGGTTCATATCTAAAAAAATCCAACTTTTAAAGACCATACTAAGACCTAACAACATTTAACAACAAGATCCCTTATCTTGTTAATATCTGATATACAAATACATGTTTACTTGTCAGAGGCAGTTCTATCATATCACACTGGTCAGTATCTACTGGTTTGTCAAACTCCAACATTTATCTAAATTCATCGTGATCTTGTATTTTAGGATTTTTATAAAGTCGGTTCCTGCAGAAACCCTGTGACAAATTTAACCAGTAAGTGATTTTATATGTTTAGTAAAATTTTCATGTCTGTCAATTACCATTATTTACAAGAAAATAAGCAGGTACATCTGTCCATTTGTCTGATGTAAATATGTCTGTCTGTGAGTGTATGACAGGTAAGTATGATGACCATCAGAGTTGCTGTGTGATCTAGTATATCAGCTGGTGGGCTGTCCAAATTTCTCTACATATGTAGATATGTCTGTCTGTGAGTGTATGACAGGTAAGTATGAGACCAACGGAGCTGCTTTGTGATCTGGTATATCAGCTGGTGGGCTGTCCAAATTTCTCTACATATGTAGATATGTCTGTCTGTGAGTGTATGACAGGTAAGTATGATGACCATCAGAGTTGCTTTGTGATCTAGTATATCAGCTGGTGGGCTGTCCAAATTTCTCTACATATGTAGATATGTCTGTCTGTGAGTGTATGACAGGTAAGTATGATGACCATCAGAGTTGCTTTGTGATCTAGTATATCAGCTGGTGGGCTGTCCAAATTTCTCTACATATGTAGATATGTCTGTCTGTGAGTGTATGACAGGTAAGTATGATGACCATCAGAGTTGCTTTGTGATCTAGTATATCAGCTGGTGGGCTGTCCAAATTTCTCTACATATGTAGATATGTCTGTCTGTGAGTGTATGACAGGTAAGTATGATGACCATCAGAGTTGCTTTGTGATCTAGTATATCAGCTGGTGGGCTGTCCAAATTTCTCTACATATGTAGTCTGTGGTCTGTCTGTGAGTGTATGACAGGTAAGTATGATGACCATCAGAGTTGCTTTGTGATCTAGTATATCAGCTGGTGGGCTGTCCAGATTTCTCTACATATGTAGTCTGTGGTCCATCAGTCATCAGTCTTTAAACCATCCTTGTTATATTGTGTTAGATTGATCAGTCTCATATCTCAGAAGTAGACTTCCCTTTCTCCCTAATTATTCCCTTTTTATTTTGGGACTGATTACAAAAACAAAATGGCTGACAGATATGCATCTTGGAGTCATTTTGGCCTCTTTTAGCCCTGCTCCACAAATGCCTGAGGATTGGGACCATATATTTCACAATTTTTTATTAACTTTGGTTGTGGCAGGTTTTGGCAGAATTTCATGAAAGTTGGTTTTGGTGTTTTTGAGAAGATAAGCTGTTGATGGTTTACAGACAGACATCACATAATGACATTGGGAAAAAGGCAATTGTAATAGGTCACAAAATAAGAGCTTAAAAAGGAAAAATAAAAATAAATCAATAAATAACAAATAACGATCTCAACAAGGTGGCAACATTAATGTGGAATCTCATGCTCACATATACAGAAAATATTTTTTGATATTTCTATAAAATGATATAAATAGAAAATTAAAAGTTTTTCTGCTTTGTATTATATATATTTTACTGACAAAAATTAAAGTGAAACAATGTTCTATTAATGCTAAAGTTTTCAGTTTAATGAACAATCCCTTGATTCACATCTTTTATTGTCCCAAACAGAAGGATGGACTTTAGGGATCTAACACAGAAACATTGATTGTCAAAGAAAACAAATGTGACACATAATTACCCCATACCCATCATTTGTTATACAAATGTGACCACATAATTACCCCATACCCATCATTTGTTATACAAATGTGACACATAATTACCCCATACCCATCATTTGTTATACAAATGTGACACATAATTACCCCATACCCATCATTTGTTATACAAATGTGACCACATAATCACCCCATACCCATCATTTGTTATACAAATGTGACCACATAATTACCCCATACCCATCATTTGTTATACAAATGTGACCACATAATTACCCCATACCCATCATTTGTTATACAAATGTGACACATAATTACCCCATACCCATCATTTGTTATACAAATGTGACACATAATTACCTCATACCCATCATTTGTTATACAAATGTGACCACATAATTACCCCATACCCATCATTTGTTATACAAATGTGACACATAATTACCCCATACCCATCATTTGTTATACAAATGTGACACATAATTACCCCATACCCATCATTTGTTATACAAATGTGACCACATAATTACCCCATACCCATCATTTGTTATACAAATGTGACACATAATTACCCCATACCCATCATTTGTTATACAAATGTGACACATAATTACCCCATACCCATCATTTGTTATACAAATGTGACACATAATTACCCCATACCCATCATTTGTTATACAAATGTGACACATAATTACCTCATACCCATCATTTGTTATACAAATGTGACACATAATTACCTCATACCCATCATTTGTTATACAAATGTGACACATAATTACCCATCATTTGTTATACAAATGTGACCACATAATCATTTGTTATACAAATGTGACACATAATTACCCCATACCCATCATTTGTTATACAAATGTGACCACATAATCACCTCATACCCATCATTTGTTATACAAATGTATATGATAGAGGAAAGATGATTCATAGGAAGAACTGTTTTGTTCTATAATTGTACTAAATCAGAGTGACTTTTTGTTACAGACATGATAGGTGTGACAGATATCCCTGACTGGTGAGTACAATGTACATTATCTACATCACAAGTACACTGTACAGTATCTACATCACAAGTACATTGTACAGTATCTACATCACAAGTACACTGTACAGTATCTACATCACAAGTACAATGTACATTATCTACATCACAAGTACAATGAACATTATCTACATCACAAGTACAATGTACAGTATCTACATCACAAGTACACTTTACAGTATCTAGATCACAAGTACACTGTACAGTATCTACATCACAAGTACAATGTACAGTATCTACATCACAAGTACAATGTACAGTATCTACATCACAAGTACACTGTACAGTATCTACATCACAAGTACAATGTACAGTATCTACATCACAAGTACAATGTACAGTATCTACATCACAAGTACAATGTACAGTATCTACATCACAAGTACAATGTACAGTATCTACATCACAAGTACACTGTACAGTATCTACATCACAAGTACACTGTACAGTATCTACATCACAAGTACAATGTACATTATCTACATCACAAGTACAATGAACATTATCTACATCACAAGTACAATGTACAGTATCTACATCACAAGTACACTGTACAGTATCTACATCACAAGTACACTGTACAGTATCTACATCACAAGTACACTGTACAGTATCTACATCACAAGTACACTGTACAGTATCTACATCACAAGTACAATGTACAGTATCTACATCACAAGTACACTGTACAGTATCTACATCACAAGTACAATGTACAGTATCTACATCACAAGTACAATGTACAGTATCTACATCACAAGTACAATGTACAGTATCTACATCACAAGTACACTGTACAGTATCTACATCACAAGTACAATGTACAGTATCTACATCACAAGTACAATGTACAGTATCTACATCACAAGTACACTGTACAGTATCTACATCACAAGTACACTGTACAGTATCTACATCACAAGTACACTGTACAGTATCTACATCACAAGTACACTGTACAGTATCTACATTACAAGTACAATGCTTACATTGAAATTTCATTCAATGTTAACTTATGAGGTAATATATAGTGCATTTTTTTTGTCAAAAGGTCAACTACAAAGGTCACTGTTCTTAAAAATAGACTTTTATGGTCAAAGTTTGGTTTCCAGATGATATCTTCAAAAAGGATTGATGGATTTAGTTGAAACTTCATACAGTGTTGTCTTATGAGGTAATAGAGAGTGGAATAGAGTTTGTAGTCAAAAGGTCAACTACATGTATGAAGGTCACTGCTACTAAAAATAGACTTTTATTGTCATATTTTGGCTTCAAGATGATAATTTGTGATAAGATTGACCAATTGTATTGAAATTTGATGCAATCTCTACTATTAGAAAATATGTAGGATGGGATTGAGATAGGGGTCAAAAGGTCAACAGTGAAGGCTGTGAAAGTCACTTACTGCAATAGACATTTATCCCCGTTTTTTAGGGCCATGCATCAAAGATGCGGGAAGCAAAGTTTTTCAGAATAACACCAGTAGTCAACTGACCAATGTTCAAAGTCACTGTGTCAATAGGCTAAGGTCAAATTTTACATTTTTTTTATATGTATACTGACAATGTAACTAGAATTTATCCTTAAAAGTCAGACACAGTTTGCTCTCCAGATAATCACCTACCAAGGTAGTTGAATTAGGGATGACATACTTGATTGAAACTTAATAAAGTACTAAGCACAAGAGAGTGCATATAAAGTCTTTTGTGTCCTTCCTGTCAAGACACTGGTTTTTGGAGGGAAGACATTCAGTTGTTAAAATGAGACATCTGTTCATTGCTATCAAGGTCTATGTTGCTTAGAAAAAATTCATTAACAACAGGGGACGAGTGTTGTATGCAAAACTAACTACAAGCTTGTTTTCTTTGGCAATATGTAATACATAACTTGTGGATCACAGATATATTGTTGTGATTATTCAGGGTGTAAATTCCATGATGTCTGTTTTATGGTACATTTAAAAAAGCTAAGCTGAAACTTCATTTTGAATAGGCATCATGTAAACTTACTCAGTAACATCATCAGTGCAGTGATTATAGTAATATATTTTTCTTTTGATTTTGTTTGTTTGCTCATAACTTCTGAATTTAACCAAAGTAGTAGAAACACTGACTATAACTGTGTTTAATAGCATTGGAATGGTGAGATATTGCAGAAATCATGGTGTGAGACCTTAAATGTGTACTTGTCAATGAAAGTCTTGAGTTGTCTTCCCTTTGATTGCTCCTATCATATATTAAAATTACCCTGTAAACACTCAGTGATATTCTGTATTTCAGGGTGATGGTGGAGAGTGGTCTTCCCTTTGATCACAAAGTCGTACCAGATGGAGAAATATTGACAAAGATGTTTTCCATGTCGCCAATTGCTCATGTTGATAAGGTGATATAAAAACTTCCACAATATAAAAATTAATGTCACTGCTACAGATCAGTTTTCAAACAATTATCGAGTCTTTTTAAATAAAATGTTTATTATTTACTAGAGCATTGATCTCAACATACAACACATTTCTGATTGATATTTTGTTGTGACCAATCAGACTGTTTCTTGATAATTAGTGTCACTTTCAAGATTGTCACCTAGATATCATGAATATTGAAAATGCATGTTATGTGATAGAAGCATTGTGCTATAATATAGAAAGTTCTTTATGTACTCTGTACTTTCCTCAAGCAGCCACAAAAACATACTGTGAGTCAGAGAATGAGCTAAGTACTGGAGAATAAGCTTTTGTAGTTATTCTACTTTAAAATATAGCTGGGCCACACAAACATACCAGAAAAATCTCACATTATCAACAACAACAAAAATACACCATTCAAAAGAATGTTTATCAATCTCATTCATAAAATACTCATTTAGATGGACTTGGTGTTGATACTAAACTATGATGTATTTGGATTCAGGTGAAGGCTCCGTTACAAATTATGCTTGGTCTGGATGATCGAAGAGTTCCACCCAAACAAGGGGAACAATTCTACAGGGCCTTGAAATCTAGAAATATTCCTGCCAGGTAAAGTTTTCTTTCACCGATGAGAAAGATTTAGAATTAAAGTTTGATCCAAGTTACTGATGAAGTTATGATTGAACACAGTTGATAACATGATGAAGAATTGTAAGATTATTATCATAATTTGATGGATAGATATGATCCATAGAAACCATTCTTGATATGGACACCTGTTTATATTTCTGAGGTAATTCCCGGTTAAAATATCATCACCTCATACAAAGTCACTTGTGTACTATATCTCTATGTACTTAATCAATACTACCTGCGCGTCACTACTTCTTGTGTACTACTAACTTTTCCTATGCTTCATCACTATTACTTGTGTACAACATCACTACCTCTTGTGTACTACTAAGAGTAAGTTTTCCTATGCTTCTCATCACCTGTGTATTACATCACTACCTCTTGTGTACTACTAAGAGTAACTTTTCCTATGCTTCATCACTATTACCTGTGTACAACATCACTACCTCTTGTGTACTACTTAGAGTAAGTTTTCCTATGCTTCATCACTATTACCTGTGTACAACATCACTACTTCTTGTGTACTACTTAGAGTAAGTTTTCCTATGCTTCATCACTATTACCTGTGTACAACATCACTACCTCTTGTGTACTACTTAGAGTAAGTTTTCCTATGCTTCATCACTATTACCTGTGTACAACATCACTACTTCTTGTGTACTACTTAGAGTAAGTTTTCCTATGCTTCATCACTATTACCTGTGTACAACATCACTACTTCTTGTGTACTACTTAGAGTAAGTTTTCCTATGCTTCATCACTATTACCTGTGTATTATATCCCAACTACCTGTGTACAACATCACTACTTCTTGTGTACTACTTAGAGTAAGTTTTCCTATGCTTCATCACTATTACCTGTGTACAACATCACTACTTCTTGTGTACTACTTAGAGTAAGTTTTCCTATGCTTCATCACTATTACCTGTGTACAACATCCTATGCTTCATCACTATTACCTGTGTATTATATCACTACTACCTGTGTACAACATCACTACTTCTTGTGTACTACTAAGTGTAAGTTTTCCTATGCTTCATCACCCGTGTATTATTTTACTACTACCTGTGTACAACATCACTACTTCTTGTGTACAATCAAGTGTATGTTTGTGTACAACATCACTACTTCTTGTGTACTACTAAGTGTAAGTTTTCCTATGTTTCTCATCACATGTGTATTAAATCACTATTACCTGTGTACAACATCACTTATTTTTGTGTACTACATAAGACTAATTGATATGTATTTTGTTTTCCACTAGGCTGATATCATATGAGGGAAACAGTCATCCAATTATTACCACAGAAGCTGAGAGTGATGCGTTTGTCAATACAGTGTCCTGGTTTGATACCCACTTGTGACTACATACATAAACATACCTAATTTGGCACAGTCAAATTTTAGTACCTTTTTTGGAAAAAAAACCCCATAAAAACAGATTAATATTTGTTAAAATCTTTACGAATCCTACAATCTTACTGGTGTGAACACAATGTTATGGCAAGTTGTGAAAGAAATCACACTACATTAATGCTAGTTAAGTGACATGTATGTGTATAACTTACAATTACTTATAATGTTCAAAAAATTCAAATCGTAAGTGAAAGAAGACAAGAAAGGGTGTGAACTATTACTAAACAGAAAAATATTATTTTTATTGAAAAAATCATGTGTTCCAATTACTGCCTATTTTATCTGACTGGAGGTTTACAATATCCATGATACATATTGTGTTCTTCACAAATAGACATTTTGGAAAATATTTTGTTATGAATTTGATAATCAATTTAAACCACTGCATATTTTCTTATAAGTTTTTTGTTTTTTGATTTTTTAATTTATTGTAAGACGATGTGTATCTTTAGGATGCACAGCATCTGTTGCCATCAACTGCTAGCTAGGCTATTTATAGCCTGGACCAAATTCTACACCACAAAAAGACCCAACAATGCACATTTACTTCCATGGAAAGATATAAAATGTGTTTGCAATTTGTTCATGAAGTACAGTGAAACCTCGCTGTCAAGACCACTTTGGGGACTGGACAAAAGTGGTCTTAATAGCGAGGTGGTCTTAATAGCGACGTGGATCAGATTTAACCACAAAGAACCGTAACTCTGTTTAAAATAAAGAGTATATATATCATTAAGTAATGTATTTGTATATCATTCAAAAATAATAACTGATAAAAATAAACTAAAATGTTGAATTTTATGAAATGCATGTAAAAAAGACAAAATTGCTGAATTGACAGAAGATTATGTATATATTCCTTAGTTTATATCATAATATACATGTATATTTACTATTGTAAACATTGAATAAAAGGAAACAAACAATCCATTTTAAGTTCAATTGGAATTTAACGTTAATTTCGCAACTATTTCACATAAATTTACGAACACATTTACTCAGTATTTGTAACAACTTTAATGAAGTCACTATAAAGTCTTTCAATGCTTCATTTTTCACTTGAATTCACAAACACATTATCTTTATCAGTGTATCACTCAGTACAACACATTTTTCTTTTTACTTAAAAAAAGAGTCTGGAGCACAATATTGCGAAGAGTTACGGATCTGGACAGCCTCCTCTTTCATACGTTCTTTTTACCGATCGCGATAGCTCGTTTCGTTTCCGTGGTGTAGTTGATGCTGTTATTTTATAAATACATGCAAAAATGATATAAGATGTCATGTTTTAAACGACAACTTGGAACTATTTCATGCAGATATAACTATGCTTCTCTGTTTGGAAGAAAAAATTATGTTGACTACAATATTTGATTTATTCTCCCTTTAATCCTTTTTTTGAAGTTTCTTATACACAAGATTTTGCAGTAAGGTCTTGATTCCAGAACATAACAAAGAAGATGTTTAAATATCGGTATATATATATCAGTGTGACCAATCATTAAAGCTGATGTGTTAATTTCCATAGCGATATACCTCTTCCTTTCAATACACATCATACACAGCATCTCTGAGTGTCCACAACACTTTCTAAACTACAATCATGTTAACAAGCACTGATATTGTCAGCAATACACATCATACACAGCGTCTTTGAGCGTCCTCAACACTTTCTAAACTACAATTATGTTAACAAGCGCTGATATTGTCAACAATACACAATACACATCATACACAGCGTCTTTGAGCGTCCTCAACACTTTCTAAACTACAATCATGTTAACAAGCGCTGATATTGTCATCAAGACACAATACACATCATACACAGCGTCTTTGAGCGTCCTCAACACTTTCTAAACTACAATCATGTTAACAAGCGCTGATATTGTCATCAATACACAATACACATCATACACAGCGTCTTTGAGCGTCCTCAACACTTTCTAAACTGCAATCATGTTAACAAGTGCTGATATTGTCATCAATACACATCATACACAGCGTCTTTGAGCGTCCTCAACACTTTCTAAATTGTAATCATGATCTGTAAGGAAGGAACATTAACATTGCTGGCCTGTACACACTAAAGCCATTCAATCCCGTGTTATCTTAGTTAGAAAGAGAGATATTGTACTTACTGATAAACAGAAGGTATAAATGTGATGTTTATGCTAAGTTTGTAATATCACTTGTCTTTGTCTAATGTTACACAAATATTACAGTTGCTACTATGTACACAAATCTGTCTTAATTTGGAATGTTTTTTTGTGAATTTGTTTTAACGTTGAGAGTTAATGTACCTGTATGTTAAATTTATCTACAGTATTGTGTATTCAATATCTGTCATTGAGAGTTGATGTACTGGTATGTTAAATTTATCTACAGTATTGTGTATTCAATATCTGTCATTGAGAGTGTACCTGTATGTTAAATTTATCTACAGTATTGTGTATTCAATATCTGTCATTGAGAGTGTACCGGTATGTTAAATTTATCTACAGTATTGTGTATTCAATATCTGTCATTGAGAGTTGATGTACCGGTATGTTAAATTTATCTACAGTATTGTGTATTCAATATCTGTCATTGAGAGTTGATGTACCGGTATGTTAAATTTATCTACAGTATTGTGTATTCAATATCTGTCATTGAGAGTGTACCGGTATGTTAAATTTATCTACAGTATTGTGTATTCAATATCTGTCATTGAGAGTTGATGTACCGGTATGTTAAATTTATCTACAGTCATTGTGTATTCAATATCTGTCATTGAGAGTTGATGTACCGGTATGTTAAATTTATCTACAGTATTGTGTATTCAATATCTGTCATTGAGAGTTGATGTACCGGTATGTATATTGTGTATTCAATATCTGTCATTGAGAGTTGTTGTACCGGTATGTTAAATTTATCTACAGTATTGTGTATTCAATATCTGTCATTGAGAGTTGATGTACCGGTATGTTAAATTTATCTACAGTATTGTGTATTCAATATCTGTCATTGAGAGTTGATGTACCGGTATGTTAAATTTATCTACAGTATTGTGTATTCAATATCTGTCATTGAGAGTTGATGTACCGGTATGTACCAGTATTGTATGTTAAATTTATCTACAGTATTGTGTATTCAATATCTGTCATTGAGAGTTGATGTACCGGTATGTTAAATTTATCTACAGTATTGTGTATTCAATATCTGTCATTGAGAGTTAATGTACCTGTATGTTAAATTTATCTACAGTATTGTGTATTCAATATCTGTCATTGAGAGTGTACCGGTATGTTAAATTTATCAACAGTATTGTGTACTCAATATCTGTCATTGAGAGTTGATATACCGGTATGTTAAATTTATCTACACTATTATGCATTCAGGGATGCCAGGTCAGTGCATATTTTTGTCAACGCAAATTGCAATTCATCTAAATAATAATAACTGTTTTTGTAATTGATGATTTGATAAATTACATAATGAATCTTATGTAGTTGTTTTATTTTCTTCATAACAAATATTCTCATCAAACATTTGTCATGAAAAAAAGGCCCATGGGGCCTATAATTAGGGCTTGCATTGTTCACCAGGTGTAATTTGCTGAAATCGATTAATTTATTTTAACTAAGGGAAAAGTATTTCAAACAATTATATCCAATTCCAAAAGGAGGTTAGATGCACTTTTACCAAGGATGTCTTCAGTTCCAACATAAGGAGGATTTCAAAGAATTTGCTCTTTTTCCAATATCTGTCCTTAATAATAATAAAAATAAACAAGTTCTTCCAACTTATATTAACCACTCTTCTTGGCTGCATTGAAGTGTACAAGGGGTCTTACTATTGGAGGAAACTGGAGTACCCAGGGAAAACCCATGTAGTTGGGCAGGTGATGCCATACCTTTCCACATCCATTCTGGAAAGTGACAGCTACGTGAAAGGCGAGTGAGTAACTACTGTGCCACCTGACAATCCTATTTGTCTCCACCCATCCTTTCCCAGTGGGCCAGAACCCACTGTTTACAAAAAATTGATCCCCTTCACACAAGCATATCACAAACTTAATTGGGACAGAATCCAGGCATTCCTACATAAGAAGAATGATTTTGAAGATTTGTCCCTATTTCTCCTACTGGGCCCCACACCTACCACACTACCATTTACGCAAAATTCATTCTTCTTCCTCCAAGCATGCTTCAGGCCAAATTGGGACAACATCCCGGTATTCCTACAGTGGAAAAAGAGGAAAAAAGGACTTTAAAGAATATACTCTATTACTCATTACTGGACCCTGCTCATAGTGATCTATTGCAATCACCTTTTGTCTGGCTACGTGCATCTGTAAACTCTGAATATTTTTACTTCTTCTTGAAAACCCCAGTGCTGATTTTAATGAAATTTTGCAGAAACATTCCCTAGCCTAAAATGAACCAAAGATATGGTCCCAACCCTTATAGGGGCCGAAGCGGCAGTGCCAAAAGGGGTCAAAATGATAAGATTTCAAAATTCTTTTTCTCAACACTAAGATATGGTAGCATCAAATACTCTTCATGGAAGCGTCTTAAGGTGGCTTACAACAATAGCATTTCTACCCCAGGATCTCGCATTTTCACATAGGGAGGGGGTAAAATTTACTATAGTTCATATAGGAAAAATAGATTTATGAGCATAATTTGTTTCATTTCCTATTTCAAACTTGGTTAGAATTATGAGCAAAGGAAGATGGCTTGATTGTATACCCATATTGATCTTAGCTGACCCCCAGGGGCTGATTGTCGGGGCCTAATCGGGTCAAATGATTCAGATATAAAAAAAATCTTCTCAGCACCCAGATATGGTAGAATCAAACGCTCTTCATGATTGGATGGGTCTTAGGGTGCTTTACCAAAATTGTGAATTTCATGACCCCAGGGTCTCACATTTCTCCCTGGGGAGGGGTTAGAATTGACAATAGTTTCTGTAGGAATATGATATCTTTGAGCATAATTTGTGTATTTTCTATTGAAAATAAATCAAACATGGTTAGCATTGTTAGTATAGGATGACAGTTTGATGTCATGCACATGTTGACCCGGGTCTGAAAGTAAAACCTGATGTCTCTGTACAAATGTGGCACCCAGTTAAATTATTTTGATTATGTTAATGTATTTTTTTACTGAGTTTTTGGGATGAATTAGGTGACTGTATCCCATGCTGTGGTGAGTGTTGTATTGTATGTGTGGTGTACTCGTCTTTTTATTTCTATGTGGGGCGTATCCCATGTTGTGCTTTGTATTGTGAAAGTACTATTATGTATACTGTATGTGTAGTGCGTGAATGTCCGGAGAGTGAGTTTGTGTGACGTAAGTAAGTAAACAGGTTTGACAGGTGACGGACAGTACTGGACATGCGTGCTAGTCTTTTTCTTTTCTTTCTTTCTTTCACATTGCCGCCAAAAGCCTCATAGAGTTTTTGACCACTGATAGAGAAACATCTACATTCTCTCTCCAAACCTACATGTACTTATATTTTTATCGCTGATCATGAAATGTCCTGGGCACCACATGCCAAGTAAGTAATATTTAAGTTAAGTTGTGATAATTTAATCTGTGGGTTTTAAATAGTATTTGGTGTAAAATGTATCTTTTAAATAATGATATCCGTCTGAATGTTCTGTTCGTAATTGTTCATACAGTTGCTTTTAACTTTAGTTACTCTACAATGTTATTTGTTTTGTTGTAGGGATTTTAAACATGAGTAAATATCGAGATGAATAAATAGAAAGGGAAGGACACTTCAAATGCCGTCAGCTGTTATTTGTACCGGGGACCCCCCCACGACCGACTTCGTTACACAAATACACGTAGCATTTCTCATATTCTCTTCTCAATACTACATTCATTCCAATCATTTCAGTTTTTGAGATGAATTAGGTGACTGTTTAGGCCCTTGGGCCTCTTGTTTGTGTAGTGGGATGGACTCTACTTCGGTAATTGAATGTGCTAAAGTTTATATTGACACAACACGTATTGTACAGAAAAAAAACAGCATGAGATGTGGACAACTTGATTGCTATAGGGCTCCACCCTAATTATCAGGTGTTGCTGCCCAGAAGATAGACAACTTTTCACTTGAATTGGGCATCATTGCTTCATAATGTCATAAAGAAATATTTTCTATAAATATTTCAGGCTTGACTTTAACCTTTGACTAAGCCTGTAACATTAAGATGTGATATGTAAGTTTTACTATATACTAATTCATTTTCATAGTGACAATTTTGACTGCTGAATAGAAAAACCCATTGAGAGCTAGAACTTCTTGTGAAGAAGCCATGGAAGAAATGCAAGAGTAATCATCTGATGAGAACTAATGATATTTAGCAGCAATAGTTATTCTATTTATAGTAACCATTACCTTGACCTTTGACCTTAGGTCTTGGAAAAATCCTCCCAATCATGGACTTCCTTCAAAAAAGGAAGTATAAATATTGTATAGAAACAAGATTTGAAGAAGGGGGAAAAAAAACAAAACATTACTATAACTCACTCACATCTTAGAGGTAGGACCATAATCAAAATCTTGTTTGCTAAATCATACTTTGATAAATACTCCTCTATTTTCAAAATTACATTCTAATGTTACAGGAAAGTAGAAAGACTGACACACTACATTTCCAATCCCTTTCACCTCCTTTAACAAACAGAACAAAAAACTTGTTAAATACCAAAGTTATCCTTTATTGATATATTCCTGTGTCTGAACCAGCAGACTCAGAAAACACTATTTGCCAGCAAACAGTACACTGTACAAAAGTTAAACAAATGGAATGTATTAATAGGTATTGACTACTTGTACGTAATTTCATAAAATGTAAAATATATTTAAATCAGAAATAAAGACATGACAACATCAATATAACAATGGTTATTCCATTAGATTAAAGGCTGAATTTTGTTATATTACTCTTTGGTGATCAATTAAAATTCAAAAACAATTATCACAGATCTGTCCGACAGAAACAATATCATAGATCTTTTGATTATTGATGTGTGTTAATGCCCGACAAAAACAATTATCACAGATGTGATGATTAATGACCTGTGTTGATTACTAATATGTGTTGATAACTGTTCATTTGTCTACTTAGGTTCACTGTCATGATAAAACTTAATTGGGCAGATAGAAAAATGCATAGTACAAATTACCATAAAATATCAGATTTATCTGGAGGTGTCCAGAAAATGCCCAACAAAAATAATATCATAGATCTTATGATTACTGATGCGTGTTAATGTCTGTTCATTTGTTTACTTAAGTTCACTGTCATAATAGAACTTTACTGGGCAGTCAGAAAAATGCATAGTACAAATCACCACAAAATTAGTGTCACACGTCATTAAACCTGGGTATTAGTGTCACACGTCATTAAACCTGGGTATTAGTGTCACACGTCATTAAACCTGGGTATTAGTGTCACACGTCATTAAACCTGGGCATTAGTGTCACACGTCATTAAACCTGGGCATTAGCGTCACACGTCATTAAACCTGGGCATTAGTGTCACACGTCATTAAACCTGGGCATTAGTGTCACACGTCATTAAACCTGGGCATTAGTGTCACACGTCATTAAACCTGAGCATTAGTGTCACACGTCATTAAATCTGGGCATTAGTGTCACACGTCATTAAACCTGGGAGTTAGTGTCACACGTCATTAAACCTGAGCATTAGTGTCACACTTCATTAAACCTGGGCATTAGTGTCACACGTCATTAAACCTGGGCATTAGTGTTGTTTACTTTTATTGACTTAATCATCATAAAACAAAGTTATCAAGTTAATTAATGACATGTAAATTATATACAATTGTATTTTTTCAGGACATAATTAACACAAACAAGTTTCAGTCATAACAGAAGTGCGTGTTGTGATTGAAACCTACTTCAATTAATTTTCATACTTTGTTTCCTTGCCCTCATCCGATGTGCTGTGCCAACTTATGAACCAACTCACTCTAAACTGACATTCTATAAATTACATTATTTTTTAGAACACAATCCTACAGCTTAAAATTTATAGCTCAAAAGTAATAATATCATCAAAGTAATAATATCAACCATTAAATTATCTTTAAAGTAACAATCCTACAGCTAAAAGTTCAATGGTTTTAAGTAATAATATCAACCATTACGTTATCATTTGAGGACACAATCCTACAGCTAGAAGTTCAATGGTTCAAAGTTATAATCTCATCAAAGAAATAATATCAACCATTACGTTATCATTTGAGGACACAATCCTACAGCTAGAAGTTCAATGGTTCAAAGTTATAATCTCATCAAAGAAATAATATCAACCATTAGATTATTTTTGTTAATTTGAGGACACAATAATATCAAAGTTATAATCCATTACATTATCATTTGGAGCTAGAAGTTCAATGGTTCAAAGTTATAATCTCATCAAAGAAATAATATCAACCATTACATTATCATTTGAGGACACAATCCTACAGCTAGAAGTTCAATGGTTCAAAGTTATAATCTCATCAAAGAAATAATATCAACCATTACATTATCATTTGAGGACACAATCCTACAGCTAGAAGTTCAATGGCTTATAATCTCATCAAAGAAATAATATCAACCATTAGATTATTTTTTAGGACTAAATCCAACAGCTAGAAGTTTAATGGCTTTAAGTAATAATATCAACCATTACAATATCATTTGAGGACACAATCCTACAGCTGTAAATTTAACGATCCAAAGTAATAAATAAGAAGACAAAATACCTACATAAGATTTATCAAATAATATGACACACTTAAATGGCAAGTATATATTATAACAGTAGGACACGTTATTACATACAAAATGACCTTGACCTTGATCAAAAAGTATAAACAAAGCACTAAACCGTTGATATAAAACACAAAGGAAGGCAGGTCTTTTGACATTATATGGATACATGTTTGGTGTAACTAACTAATCCTCATACATCAAAAATAATGCTTTAGTTTTAGGACATGGCTTAATAGGTTACCCAGGTAATGTGTGTGAGGTGTTTCCTATTTTTTAACGATAACAGTCCTTTTGGCTGTAATATCTGTAGGGTGTAGAATCAAATTGTAGTTGCATTTTTTTTATTCAACAACAATAATAGTGCCCTTTTGACTGCGATTTGTAAAGTTGTTGTTTCGAGTGCACATGTAGTGGTATGTGCCTGACTTGAACTTTAACACAGCACCTTCATATGATGCTGGGGCGTTATTCAGCAGTTTATCCATAAGTGTCTTTGTGTCAGCAGATTCTCCGGACTGTCCTCCACAATCACTTCCCTTGACGCACCTATACAAACAAAATATAGACAAAAATTTATCTACACAAGATATACTGTGAGAAACACAAGGTAGTATGTGCCAGTTTATATCAAATAGATATGAATCAAATAAACCTGCACAACAAATTTTGAAATATATGTTTAACAAGTACACAATACATACCTATAACATCAAAAAATCAAACTCTTAAGATGAATTGTTCAGTACCATTATTAACCTGTCGTAACATTATAATTTGTTCAGTGTTAGTTGAATATATATTTTTTTTTGTATAAGAGGGAATTAAGATGTACCAATACAATTACTATGCTCTTCAGTTAAATTTGTACATTTTGTTTCCTAATAAATACAACCAGAATAATCATCATGGAAAGATATACTTCTATAAATTCTAAGGTGTCATTCATATGTCTAAATCTTATAATAGATTATAGGGACATGTTACATATTGTATCCAGATCTTATAATACATTATAAGGACATGTTACATAAAGTATCCAGATCTTATAATAGATTATAGGGACATGTTACATAAAGTATCCAGATATGATAGGGACATGTTACATAAAGTATCCAGATATGATAGGGACATGTTACATAAAGTATTCAGATCTTATAATAGATTACAGGGACATGTTACATAAAGTATCCAGATATGATAGGGACATGTTACATAAAGTATTCAGATATGATAGGGACATGTTACATAAAGTATTCAGATATGATAGGGACATGTTACATAAAGTATTCAGATCTTATAATAGATTATAGGGACATGTTACATAAAGTATCCAGATATGATAGGGACATGTTACATAAAGTATTCAGATATGATAGGGACATGTTACATAAAGTATTCAGATATGATAGGGACATGTTACATAAAGTATTCAGATATGATAGGGACATGTTACATAAAGTATTCAGATCTTATAATAGATTACAGGGACATGTTACATAAAGTATCCAGATATGATAGGGACATGTTACATAAAGTATCCAGATATGATAGGGACATGTTACATAAAGTATCCAGATATGATAGGGACATGTTACATAAAGTATTCAGATCTTATAATAGATTATAGGGACATGTTACATAAAGTATCCAGATATGATAGGGACATGTTACATAAAGTATCCAGATATGATAGGGACATGTTACATAAAGTATTCAGATCTTATAATAGATTATAGGGACATGTTACATAAAGTATCCAGATATGATAGGGACATGTTACATACATGTAGTATCCGGATGAGGCCATACTGACAGCTAGGTCCTTCGAGGACACTGATGTTTTTCCATGATAAATCCATTTCACCTCAGCATTCTGCCACATACTGGATCGTTCAAACGGCACTGGATAGTTGTCATTCAAGTCCTTAATTTGTACCATGTTGTTTCTATCAGTGCCTAGCATAAAACAGACATTTTTTGTTCCAATAAAATATAGTATTATATATGTGTTGAGTACAATCCTCCCTCCCACCTGGTGTCTTCACTCCTAATCACATTGATTAAATGATTCAGTTATTTTCTCACCTATAGTCCACCATGACCAGATGTAATTCAGTGTAACCTTCCTACATTTAGTCTACCAACCCTTGATGTAATTCAGTGTAACCTTCCTACATTTAGTCTACCAACCCTTGATGTAATTCAGTGTAACCTTCCTACATTTAGTCTACCAACCCTTAATGTAATTCAGTTTAACCTTCCTACATTTAGTCTACCAACCCTTGATGTAATTCAGTGTAACCTTCCTACATTTAGTCTACCAACCCTTGATGTAATTCAGTGTAACCTTCCTACATTTAGTCTATCATCTACTGATGTAATTCAGTTTAACCTTCCTACATTTAGTCTACCAACCCTTGATGTAATTCAGTGTAACCTTCCTACATTTAGTCTATCATCTACTGATGTAATTCAGTGTAACCTTCCTACATTTAGTCTATCATCTACTGATGTAATTCAGTGTAACCTTCCTACATTTAGTCTACCAACCCTTAATGTAATTCAGTGTAACCTTCCTACATTTAGTCTACCAACCCTTGATGTAATTCAGTGTAACCTTCCTACATTTAGTCTATCATCTACTGATGTAATTCAGTGTAACCATCCTACATTTAGTCTACCAACCCTTAATGTAATTCAGTGTAACCTTCCTACATTTAGTCTATCATCTACTGATGTAATTCAGTGTAACCTTCCTACATTTAGTCTACCAACCCTTAATGTAATTCAGTGTAACCTTCCTACATTTAGTCTATCATCTACTGATGTAATTCAGTGTAACCTTCCTACATTTAGTCTACCAACCCTTAATGTAATTCAGTGTAACCTTCCTACATTTAGTCTATCATCTACTGATGTAATTCAGTGTAACCTTCCTACATTTAGTCTATCATCTACTGATGTAATTCAGTGTAACCTTCCTACATTTAGTCTATCATCTACTGATGTAATTCAGTGTAACCTTCCTACATTTAGTCTATCATCTACTGATGTAATTCAGTGTAACCTTCCTACATTTAGTCTATCATCTACTGATGTAATTCAGTGTAACCTTCCTACATTTAGTCTACCAACCCTTAATGTAATTCAGTGTAACCTTCCTACATTTAGTCTATCATCTACTGATGTAATTCAGTGTAACCTTCCTACATTTAGTCTATCATCTACTGATGTAATTCAGTGTAACCTTCCTACATTTAGTCTATCATCTACTGATGTAATTCAGTGTAACCTTCCTACATTTAGTCTATCATCTACTGATGTAATTCAGTGTAACCTTCCTACATTTAGTCTATCATCTACTGATGTAATTCAGTGTAACCTTCCTACATTTAGTCTATCATCTACTGATGTAATTCAGTGTAACCTTCCTACATTTAGTCTACCAACCCTTAATGTATTTCAGTTTAACCTTCCTATACTTAGTCTACCAACCCTTAATGTAATTCAGTGTAACCTTCCTACATTTAGTCTACCAACCCTTAATGTAATTCAGTGTAACCTTCCTACATTTAGTCTATCATCTACTGATGTAATTCAGTGTAACCTTCCTACATTTAGTCTACCAACCCTTAATGTAATTCAGTGTAACCTTCCTACATTTAGTCTATCATCTACTGATGTAATTCAGTGTAACCTTCCTGCATTTAGTCTATCATCTACTGATGTAATTCAGTTTAACCTCCCTACATTTAGTCTATCATCTACTGGTGTGATACAATGTAATGTCACACATTTAGCCTACAACTTTCCAGAGCCCATTTTCTCCTGTATGACCCCTCTATAACTTACCATCCTTCCCTTGTCCCTCATCTCCTGCCTGTCCATCTCCACCATTCCCTCCATTGTTATGGCTATTGGAGCCTGGAAATTATAATGATAGAAATCAGATGCAAATGTAATGATAAATGAGAGTATTGTCAGATAAAGAAGGCTTTCAAACCTGATTTATAAGCAACATCTCGGTCACACTGGACATTTTGTCATTGAATTTAAATGTACCCAATTTGATGTAAATACATAAAATTTTATAATAATTATGCAGTTCTTTTGATAGGAAATCCACATGGATATTATTGTATTTCATTCCATCTGTTTCCAAATGTCTTAAGTATGAGGTAACAAATTCTAATTTCATGCTAAATAAATAATTTAGATCATGCACAAAAGTCTCGTCATCAATCCAACTTACATGTATTGAATGATTTCAAAATCTTAACAAGTTCACCAGGTGTGTACAGTAGATTAGGATGAAAATCGCGGATGTTTGGTAGACGTTGTACTTACCTGTCCACTGTATGTATTAAGATGTTAGATTGTAGACTAAGAGTGTTAGGGTGGAAGTCCACTGTATATGTACCAGATCATTAGATTAAGGGTGTTAGAGCAGGCGTGGTACTCACCTGTCCACTGTATATGTACCAGATCATTAGATTAAGGGTGTTAGAGCAGGCGTGGTACTCACCTGTCCACTGTATATGTACCAGATCATTAGATTAAGGGTGTTAGAGCAGGCGTGGTACTCACCTGTCCACTGTATATGTACCAGATCATTAGATCATTAGATTAAGGGTGTTAGAGCAGAAGTGGTACTCACCTGTCCACTGTATATGTACCAGATCATTAGATTAAGGGTGTTAGAGCAGGCGTGGTACTCACCTGTCCACTGTATATGTACCAGATCATTAGATTAAGGGTGTTAGAGCAGAAGTGGTACCCACCTGTCCACTGTATATGTACCAGATCATTAGATTAAGGGTGTTAGAGCAGAAGTGGTACTCACCTGTCCACTGTATATGCACCAGATCATTAGATTAAGGGTGTTAGAGCAGAAGTGGTACCCACCTGTCCACTGTATATGTACCAGATCGTTAGATCGCAGATTAAGGGTGTTAGGGTGGAAGTCATACTCGACAGCTGGGTACACCTGGACTATATTGCCCCGCTTGCCCCTGATGTTAAGGTTGTAGATCCTGTCATTCTCCATTCCTGTGGGGCGTGGTTTGAGGAGAAATACGTGACTACGGTCCTGGAATATACGTCCTGTTTGATCAGTATTGATGTTAAGCCGGAGTGCTGATCTTTCACCAACATCAATATAGGGGTTTTGTTCTACAGGAGACATGGTCTTTGTCAATCTGAAGGAAAAGCATGATAGAATTAGATATAGTATAGCCAAACAATGAAATGCTTACCTGTCTCAGTATATATGTATTGTGTGAATGACAGAAGTTACCTGTCTCAGTATATAGGTATTGTGTGAATGACAGAAGTTACCTGTCTCAGTATATAGGTATTGTGTGAATGACAGAAGTTACCTGTCTCAGTATATAGGTATTGTGTGAATGACAGAAGTTACCTGTCTCAGTATATAGGTATTGTGTGAATGACAGAAGTTAACTGTCTCAGTATATAGGTATTGTGTGAATGACAGAAGTTACCTGTCTCAGTATATAGGTATTGTGTGAATGACAGAAGTTACCTGTCTCAGTATATAGGTATTGTGTGAATGACAGAAGTTACCTGTCTCAGTATATAGGTATTGTGTGAATGACAGAAGTTACCTGTCTCAGTATATAGGTATTGTGTGAATGACAGAAGTTACCTGTCTCAGTATATAGGTATTGTGTGAATGACAGAAGTCACCTGTCTCAGTATATAGGTATTGTGTGAATGACAGAAGTCACCTGTCTCAGTATATAGGTATTGTGTGAATGACAGAAGTCACCTGTCTCAGTATATAGGTATTGTGTGAATGACAGAAGTTACCTGTCTCAGTATATAGGTATTGTGTGAATGACAGAAGTTACCTGTCTCAGTATATAGGTATTGTGTGAATGACAGAAGTTACCTGTCTCAGTATATAGGTATTGTGTGAATGACAGAAGTTACCTGTCTCAGTATATAGGTATTGTGTGAATGACAGAAGTTACCTGTCTCAGTATATAGGTATTGTGTGAATGACAGAAGTTACCTGTCTCAGTATATAGGTATTGTGTGAATGACAGAAGTTACCTGTCTCAGTATATAGGTATTGTGTGAATGACAGAAGTTACCTGTCTCAGTATATAGGTATTGTGTGAATGACAGAAGTTACCTGACTCAGTATATAGGTAATACATACACATTTCTGTTGTGGCTACTGTCTGTAGCATAAGGATCAAAGTCATCTGTGGAAATGTTATATCTGTAAAAGAAGAAAACAATTGTTAAAATGTTGAATATGAAAACTTTTATTCCGACACTGATTTTAATGAACACTTCTGCCACTGCTACATTTCACATTTAACAGAATATCACTAACCTGATCCTGAAAACACATCTCTTAGTGTTACCAGAAGGGAAATAGGGTAGTGTCCAGTCATATTTAAGAGCTGTACCATCAACTCCATTTCCAAGATGATTAGATCTGTGATAAGAACGATACATATACATTAATTAAAATAGTTTACCAAAGCTGATAGAGCTTAATATGAGCAGTTTATTGTTTTACTTACAGAGGGTGAAATTTTGGAGCCAAAAGAGTCTGAACCCTGTATCAATCACTGCTACCACAGAGGATGACCTTTAAACTTATATCAATCACTGCTACCACAGAGGATGACCTTTAAACTTATATCAATCACTGCTACCACAGAGGATGACCTTTAAACTTATATCAATCACTGTTACCACAGAGGATGACTTTAAACTTATATCAATCACTGTTACCACAGAGGATGACCTTTAAACTTATATCAATCACTGCTACCACAGAGGATGACCTTTAAACTTATATCAATCACTGTGTACCACAGAGGATGACCTTTAAACTTATATCAATCACTGTTACCACAGAGGATGACCTTTAAACTTATATCAATAACTGCAGCCACAGAGGATGACCTTTAAACTTATATCAATAACTGCTACCACAGAGGATGACCTTTAAACTTATATCAATCACTGTTACCACAGAGGATGACCTTTAAACTTATATCAATAACTGCTACCACAGAGGATGACCTTTAAACTTATATCAATCACTGTTACCACAGAGGATGACCTTTAAACTTATATCAATCACTGTTACCACAGAGGATGACCTTTAAACTTATATCAATCACTGTTACCACAGAGGATGACCTTTAAACTTATATCAATCACTGTTACCACAGAGGATGACCTTTAAACTTATATCAATCACTGTTACCACAGAGGATGACCTTTAAACTTATATCAATCACTGTTACCACAGAGGATGACTTTAAACTTATATCAATCACTGTTACCACAGAGGATGACCTTTAAACTTATATCAATCACTGTTACCACAGAGGATGACTTTAAACTTATATCAATCACTGCTACCACAGAGGATGACTTTAAACTTATATCAATCACTGCTACCACAGAGGATGACCTTTAAACTTATATCAATCACTGTACCACAGAGGATGACCTTTAAACTTATATCAATCACTGCTACCACAGAGGATGACTTTAAACTTATATCAATCACTGCTACCACAGAGGATGACCTTTAAACTTATACCAATCTCTGTTACCACAGAGGATGACCTTTAAACTTATATCAATCACTGCTACCACAGAGGATGACTTTAAACTTATATCAATCACTGTTACCACAGAGGATGACCTTTAAACTTATATCAATCACTGCTACCACAGAGGATGACCTTTAAACTTATATCAATCACTGTTACCACAGAGGATGACTTTAAACTTATATCAATCACTGCTACCACAGAGGATGACTTTAAACTTATATCAATCACTGCTACCACAGAGGATGACTTTAAACTTATATCAATCACTGCTACCACAGAGGATGACCTTTAAACTTATATCAATCACTGCTACCACAGAGGATGACTTTAAACTTATATCAATCACTGCTACCACAGAGGATGACCTTTAAACTTATATCAATCACTGTTACCACAGAGGATGACCTTTAAACTTATATCAATCACTGCTACCACAGAGGATGACCTTTAAACTTATATCAATCACTGTTACCACAGAGGATGACTTTAAACTTATATCAATAACTGCAGCCACAGAGGATGACCTTTAAACTTATATCAATCACTGTTACCACAGAGGATGACTTTAAACTTATATCAATATCTGCAGCCACAGAGGATGACCTTTAAACTTATATCAATCACTGTTACCACAGAGGATGACCTTTAAACTTATATCAATCACTGTTACCACAGAGGATGACCTTTAAACTTATACCAATCACTGTTACCACAGAGGATGACCTTTAAACTTATATCAATCACTGTTACCACAGAGGATGACTTTAAACTTATATCAATCACTGCTACCACAGAGGATGACCTTTAAACTTATATCAATCACTGTTACCACAGAGGATGACCTTTAAACTTATATCAATCACTGCTACCACAGAGGATGACCTTTAAACTTATATCAATCACTGTTACCACAGAGGATGACTTTCAACTTATATCAATAACTGCAGCCACAGAGGATGACCTTTAAACTTATATCAATCACTGTTACCACAGAGGATGACTTTAAACTTATATCAATCACTGCTACCACAGAGGATGACCTTTAAACTTATATCAATCACTGTTACCACAGAGGATGACCTTTAAACTTATATCAATCACTGCTACCACAGAGGATGACCTTTAAACTTATATCAATCACTGTTACCACAGAGGATGACTTTCAACTTATATCAATAACTGCAGCCACAGAGGATGACCTTTAAACTTATATCAATCACTGTTACCACAGAGGATGACCTTTAAACTTATATCAATCACTGCTACCACAGAGGATGACCTTTAAACTTATATCAATCACTGTTACCACAGAGGATGACTTTAAACTTATATCAATAACTGCAGCCACAGAGGATGACCTTTAAACTTATATCAATACTGTTACCACAGAGGATGACTTTAAACTTATATCAATATCTGCATCCACAGAGGATGACCTTTAAACTTATATCAATCACTGTTACCACAGAGGATGACCTTTAAACTTATATCAATCACTGTTACCACAGAGGATGACTTTAAACTTATATCAATCACTGCTACCACAGAGGATGACCTTTAAACTTATACCAATCACTGTTACCACAGAGGATGACCTTTAAACTTATATCAATCACTGTTACCACAGAGGATGACTTTAAACTTATATCAATCACTGCTACCACAGAGGATGACTTTAAACTTATATCAATCACTGTTACCACAGAGGATGACCTTTAAACTTATATCAATCACTGTTACCACAGAGGATGGCCTTTAAACTTATATCAATCACTGTTACCACAGAGGATGACTTTAAACTTATATCAATCACTGCTACCACAGAGGATGACTTTAAACTTATATCAATCACTGTTACCACAGAGGATGACCTTTAAACTTATATCAATCACTGCTACCACAGAGGATGACCTTTAAACTTATATCAATCACTGTTACCACAGAGGATGACTTTAAACTTATATCAATCACTGTTACCACAGAGGATGACTTTAAACTTATATCAATCACTGTTACCACAGAGGATGACCTTTAAACTTATATCAATCACTGTTACCACAGAGGATGACCTTTAAACTTATATCAATCACTGCTACCACAGAGGATGACTTTAAACTTATATCAATCACTGCTACCACAGAGGATGACCTTTAAACTTATATCAATCACTGCTACCACAGAGGATGACCTTTAAACTTATATCAATCACTGTTACCACAGAGGATGACTTTAAACTTATATCAATCACTGCTACCACAGAGGATGACTTTAAACTTATATCAATCACTGCTACCACAGAGGATGACCTTTAAACTTATATCAATCACTGCTACCACAGAGGATGACTTTAAACTTATATCAATCACTGCTACCACAGAGGATGACCTTTAAACTTATATCAATCACTGTTACCACAGAGGATGACTTTAAACTTATATCAATCACTGCTACCACAGAGGATGACCTTTAAACTTATATCAATCACTGCTACCACAGAGGATGACTTTAAACTTATATCAATCACTGCTACCACAGAGGATGACTTTAAACTTATATCAATCACTGCTACCACAGAGGATGACCTTTAAACTTATACCAATCACTGTTACCACAGAGGATGACCTTTAAACTTATATCAATCACTGTTACCACAGAGGATGACCTTTAAACTTATATCAATCCCTGTTACCACAGAGGATGACTTTAAACTTATATCAATCACTGCTACCACAGAGGATGACCTTTAAACTTATATCAATCACTGCTATCACAGAGGATGACCTTTAAACTTATATCAATAACTGTACCCACTAAGGATGACCTTTAACCATGTATCAATCTAAGTTTCTACAATTTTAATTCAAAGTGTTCCAATTTTTTCTCACTTCAAGGAGGAAATATAATTGTGCAAAAATAAACACTTTATATATATTACATATATCAAATATATCATTTACTGAATGGTTTAGGATCCACTTTACCTGGAAAAGTCTGCAGCTCTACAATTTGGAGCATCAAGCTTGATAAGGCATTCCTTCTTTGTGACATCCTGCGCATCAAATGGTACGGCCCAGATGTAGGTATAGCCACCAGCACTCTGTCTGGTACACTGATCCTCACTCGTGTAGGCTATATATAGAGTAGACATGTATCTCATTACCCTCACTACTAAATGTTGGAAATAATGGTGTTTGGAATAAACATAGTCAATCACATCTCTATGGCTTTCTAATGGACCACTAACAAGAAATCTAACAAGAGGCCAAATTGACCTAAATAGCTCACCAGTTCTACAGCTAATAAAGAGAAGATTTTGATGAAAGAATGATGCTTTCCAAGGTATGTGCTTATTTATATATCATTCCTCATGTCACCTTGAAAGCGGGTCATGTAAATTCATTTGAGCACTACTGGCAAACACGATGACCCTGGGCCTATTGTTATTCGTAAAAGATGAGCCGAACAAATTTTAACACATCGGAAACTTTAATTCTTCATGTAGTCATGGCATTTTATGACATCTACTGAACATAGAGCTTTTGTTGATTGTAATTGTGAGATATTTTGACAACCTACCTGGAGCTTTCTCTAAGTAGTTATGGAAGGCTACCCACTGGCCACCATTATCAACACACTCTTCCTGGTTGTTCCACTTGGATGCATGCTTGCGGCTTCCATCACCATAGTCTTCCACACAGGCATGATAGGATCGGCTGTTAAAACTCTCCTTTTCATAATACCTATAAATATAGAAAAAAGGCTTTATCATGTGTATCAAGTAGAACTAACAATACCTATAAATAGGCAGATATCAGAACATTCTCAAAGTCACAAATAAACACCAACTTATTGTAGAATCCAAGCATGATAACTTCTGACACATCTATTGATCATCATCCAGGTGTTATACAATTTACCTACACTTGTAGTAAGTACTACACCTTTTTGTGTAGTATTGATCATCATCCAGGTGTTATACAATTTACCTACATTTGTAGTAAGTACTACGCCTTTTTGTGTAGTATTGATCATCATCCAGGTGTTATACAATTTACCTACACTTGTCTTAAGTACTACACCTTTTTGTGTAGTATTGATCATCATCCAGGTGTTATACAATTTACCTACACTTGTAGTAAGTACTACATCTTTTTGTGTAGTATTGATCATCATCCAGGTGTTATACAATTTACCTACACTTGTAGTAAGTACTACACCTTTTTGTGTAGTATTGATCATCATCCAGGTGTTTAACAATTTACCTACACTTGTCGTAAGTACTACACCTTTTTGTAGGTCATTGTTCAAGTACGTACTATTCAGGTCAATTGTTCAAATTCAAAATGAGGAAGAAAGCTTGGGTAAAAAATACTTACCAAAATCTATGTATAACATCTTAATACTGGGTGTTGACTATTCATGGTGAATTAACTTAGCATTCTTTTTTATGTGCATGCCATTAACTTTTTGCTCTTTTTCACTTGTATCGTAATTTGGGATGAAAATCAGGGTGACTCTCACCAAGACAGGAACATCTTACTGCTATGCAGACTCCTATACTTGACGTTCAAACTGTTTCACCTCCATCATATGACCAGTATTAGTGATAGTACTTACTGACACATGGAAGCGTTTTCTGCCAACACAGCAATATCTGTCCAGGGAGTTGGATGCCACAGTAAGCACTGTTAAAAGCTAAAGTTTGACCTACAGCATGTATGATTCTCACACAAAGCACTGTTAAAAGCCAAAGTTGGACCTACAGCAGGTATGATTCTCACGGTAAGCACTGTTAAAAGCTAAAGTTGGACCTACAGCATGTATGATTCTCACACAAAGCGCTGTTAAAAGCCAAAGTTGGACCTACAGCATGTATGATTCTCACACAAAGCACCGTTAAAAGCCAAAGTTGGACCTACAGCAGGTATGATTCTCACAGTAAGCACTGTTAAAAGCCAAAGTTGGACCTACAGCAGGTATGATTCTCACGGTAAGCACTGTTAAAAGCTAAAGTTGGACCTACAGCATGTATGATTCTCACACTAAGCACTGTTAAAAGCCAAAGTTGGACCTACAGCAGGTATGATTCTCACACAAAGCACTGTTAAAAGCCAAAGTTGGACCTACAGCATGTATGATTCTCACAGTAAGCACTGTTAAAAGCTAAAGTTTGACCTACAGCATGTATGATTCTCACACAAAGCACTGTTAAAAGCCAAAGTTGGACCTACAGCATGTATGATTCTCACACAAAGCACTGTTAAAAGCCAAAGTTGGACCTACAGCAGGTATGATTCTCACACTAAGCACTGTTAAAAGACAAAGTACTTGATCCCTCTACTTGTATATCAATTATGTTTAAAATGACAGCACACAAATCTTTCTCCTGAAACACTGACACCAAACAGCCACCAATATCATATTGTATTTATATATAGCTTTGATAGACAAGTTTTATCCTATATCATATTATTTAGAGACACATGAACAAGAGGCCCAAGGAACCTGAATTGCTTGTCAATCACTTATTGCTGTTTGTAAACACTTTTACAATGGTGAACTAAAATACCCGGTCAAATTTATTTGCACATTTGTTTTTGAAAACATGACAAGGTAAGTTACTTTTTTTCAAACACTGTTGAACATCTTTCAAGAAGGCATAACTTTTCTATATCTTTTAAATTTCATAGTCGTTGTTCGATCATTTGACCCCTGTGACCCTGAAAGTAGGTCATTCATTTAACAAACCCATCAACCTTTTGCCCCAGCATGTCAAATATCATTAACCTATGCTTATTGGGTACTGAGAAAAAGTTGTCAAATGCAAAAAAATTCAACACAAGGAGGATGATAGATGCCATACCATGGTTTAATCTATTTATAGTACCAGTAGGTCCAAATTGTAATATAGTGTTCGTAAACTCTGATGTATCCACAGATTCCATTACCTATATCATACACATGTGTATGACGAGTAAATACCCCAGGCCAAAACTGCCTTACTGACTTATGCTGTTATAATTAAGATCATGAAATCTGTGTTCACCCTAACCTTTGTTGCGTTGACGTATATAACAGTAGTCGTACCACTCCCACGGTTCCTGAATCACACGACTGGACTTGACATTTTGATTTTTCCTGTTGTTTTTCTGCCTCATTGTCTCGTCTAAGTTGTTGGGAGGTTGATATTCTTGAGTATTTGTCTGTGCTCCATTCCTTAGTGTATCATCTGTACCTGTCCCGTAAATATACATCAATTTGTTAATTACAGGCAGCGTATGAGGCTTTGACATCAAAACTGCCTGACATTTGTAAATAAGTAAATAGGGAATTTACATCATCATTACATGTATCACTCTGTAGATAATAGGTATGTATGACTACCTGTGTATAATCACCTCTAGTTAACCCAATACTTTTATACCTGAAAAATATATAACTGATCTATGTAAGCAGACAGGACAGTAACAGGAATTATAGGAACTTTCAATGATTACATTAACAAATATATGTACATCTACCTCTAATAATGTCGACATACAATCGAATAAATATATCATCAATGAATGTTATCTTTAATAAATAACAAATAAAAGGAACTGACACCAACAGCATGAGACTTATAATGAGGGGACAAAATAAAGATAAGTTAAAAGTGGTTGGGACAAAAAGTTAACTATCCCCCAGGTGAGGGCAATAGTACAGGATGTTCCGTTAATTAAGAGCAATTAAAACTTGTTGGGACCTTTATTGTGATGAGCAAAGAATAGTGAGAGCTCACCTGTGGGCGAGTCTACATCGTCCTGACACATATACTGCAGTACCAAGTGACAGTTCTGTTTTTGAGGATTAGTGTCCTCGTTACCACCACATCCATGCTGGTTTGTCCATTCGACAGACAGGAAGCTTTTACCAGCATCATTTGTCTTTGTTTTCCACGATCCACTTTGAAAATATTTCTACAAAAAAATAACAAGTGAGTTATTGGCTTCTGCAGCATCTGTTGTCCATCCATCCCTCTATTGTCCATCCCTCCATCACCTTTTTTCTACATATTGCTACTAGGCATGGATGACTTTGTCAATTTTCATCAAATTTTGTCTGAAGCATACTTTGGGAAGAGGAACAAATTTTCTATAAACAACAGGTCTCGTCCATCTGGGCTGGGAGGGGCAGGGCCCTATAGGGAAAACAGAGTACATTCTTTAATATGCTACTCCTCCTGTAGGAATGATTAGATTCTGCCCAAATTTAGTATAAATCATTGTTGGGGGAAGGGGAATCAATTTGGTATAAATGGTAGGTCTGGGCCCCTCGGGGCAGGGCCAAATAGAGGAAATGCTCCTCCAGTAGGATTAATTGGAATTTGCTCAAATTTGGTCAGAAGTAGTCTTGGATAAAGGGGATCAATTTTGTATCAGCGAAAGGTCGAAAGGTCCGTTTGGGCAGGAGAGGCAGAGCCCAATAGGGGAGACAGAGGAAGTTCTTTAAAATCCCACGTCTCCTGTAGGAATAATTGGATAGTAAAAATGGTTTGGCTGACAGAAGGTTGGGGTCCAATAGGAAAATAGATTTATTTTGTGTTGTGTACTTAGATGTTTCGAATTCCCTTTCCTTTAGCTTTCATGAAGCAATTTCTGCCAAGCATAGCCAGATGAACAATACAAGCCCAATGAGCCTCTTGTTGTACATCTATACTGAACAGTAAATACACCAAGCTCTGTCAATAATTTACTTATCCTGTCACAGACACTTCTGTAAAATGGGTCAAGGTCAAAATAATTAAAATGGCATAATATCACACTATACAACAATTAACTTTTTTAAAGTTTAAAACAAGGAGTTGTTAACCCTCAAAAGGTAATGTGAATTAATTTACTAAAAAAAACTGTTTTGTTAAACAAAACATTTAAGATATCCATATTATAACTAAAAGAACTTTAGTCTCAATTATCAATTTGGAAAGAAAAGCTTACGTCATGAAAATTCCCTATCACAACTTATTTATACAATATTAGTATCACAAAGGACACTTCATATATGAAGTATCATGGCATGTAAGTTAATTCGCCCTTCATCAGCTTAGAGCAGTGGGCTGGCAATATCCTTTGTGGTATCATAATTAGGGAAAATTTAAGCCGAAATACTACTAAAAACTTGATGTTATCTCTTGACTGAACTGTAAGTTCTAACCAACCTCTACTGTTTGTCCTCACCACAGTTAGATTACCATCCTGTAATATTTGCCCTCATCACATTTAGATTACCATCATGTAATATTTGCCCTCACCACAGTTAAGCACAGATAGATTACCATCTTGTACTGTTTGCCCTCATCATAACAAACTAACCATCATGAACTGCTTGCCCTCACCACAACTAACATACCATCCTGTAATATTTGCCCTCATCATAATAACCTTACCATCCTGTACTGTTTGCCCTCATCATAATAACTTTACCATCCTGTACTCTTTGCCCTCATCATAACAAACTTACCATCCTGTAATATTTGCCCTCATCATAACAAACTAACCATCATGAACTGTTTGCCCTCACCGCAACTAACTTATTGTCCTGTAATATTTGCCCTCACCACAGTTAGATTACCATCCTGTAATATTTGCCCTCATCATAACAAACTTACCATCCTGTACTGTTTGCCCTCGTTGTTGTTAGCTTTGTCTTCAGTAGCATCACCAACGTTATAACCACCTCGGTTGTTGTTCTGTAAAGAAACATTTCCCTGTTAAAACCTGTAGAAAAGGCAACAAGAGTCATCTCTGTGGGAAATATAATTGATGAATAAAAATTTCATATTCATCAGGCAGCTTAACCTGCTTAAAAGACCAACACAGAACAGTCTAATTGTGTGAGAGACAACTGTCAAATCAATCACATCAGTTATACTAGCTGAATCTGCAAGTGTAACAGTATTCAGAGATCAAGTAGTTCCTCTGAATATAGACAATCCCATTTCAAAATTACAGAACCATATCTTAAATTCCATGTTTAAAATGACAAAAATAGATCAGTACAGGTACATAATTAATTTTTGATAGTAAAAAAAGTTAATTATTTAATAATTAATTATGCTGCTGTGACAATACAAATGTTGTCATATAATGGGTTTTCTTAGCAAGGTTTAAATTCTAGCTTATTTAATTACTAGGTAATAGGTAGCTGTTAGGTACTAGTACTGAAACACACCAGTAATAAACCCAACCTATTCTTCCTGATGAGTTAAAATGAATACTAAAATAAGAACGTTTGATTGGACTCTCCTCAATGAGGAATTTACAGAAGTTTACCAATACACTAAAACAAGAATTTTAGATCACTGAAATAACACATTAAATGTCAACCCTCGTATTTGGAATCTAAAACAAGAAATTTACACTCACTTAAACAAACTGAATTACAATAGTTATATTAAATACAATGAAAATTTATATCATTAATTACCCGGTGGATATAGCACTATTATGACAAGTACCTGTGAATCAAACACACGATTGGCATTGGTTCGAGTTGCTGTGGTTTCTGCTAGTCTGTTGTTAGAACCTCGTGGGATATGTAAGTATATGTCTGCTCGTACACTGATCATCATCAGCAGCAGGCAGCTCCAATGTAACACAGGCTTCATCATACCTGTAATATAATAGTAGGCATATCAAAACACATTGTATCAATGTCTGCCTTTGAAAGGTTTATCATCCAGCAAAAAGCAAGAGTCATTTTAAGATGATCGGGAAATCCTTACAGCAGCTGGTGGCAGGCTGTCTAGCACTTCTGGACAAAAAATTGGGGCTAAATTTAGGGCTAAAATTACAAAATTTTAGGGCAAATTTAGGGCTAAAATTAGGAATTTTGTAACTAGAATAGGGAGTATGAAAGCATTAAACTGACTTACCTTTGAAAATTTGACAAAATAGAAACTAACACACAATGTCTTAATTGCAGGAAAGGTGTTTTAGGGATGCTGGACAGCCTGTGGTGGATACCTAACTGAACAACATATGGGAGGCCTGTCCCATCCCATCCTGAGAAATTAGGGTAACGTGTCTTGTCAGCATAAAATGGTCTGTTTACCTAGCTTCCCCTGAGAAATACAAACCACCACAGGTCAAAGGCATTCAACCATGTACCTCTGATCTGAAGAAATATAAGAACCTACTGCGTGTCATGGCCACTCCCTAGCTTCCTGCGAAAAACAAACCACCATGGGTCAGGAGTATTCAACCATGTTCCTCTGATCTGAAGAAATATAAGAACCTACTGCGTGTCATGGCCACTCCCTTGCTTCTTGAGAAACACAAACCACCACGGGTCAAGGGCATTCAACCATGTACCTCTGATCTGAAGAAATATAAGAACCTACTGCGTGTCATGGCCACTCCCTAGCTTCCTGCGAAAAACAAACCACCATGAGTCAGGAGTATTCAACCATGTTCCTCTGATCTGAAGAAATATAAGAACCTACTGTGTGTCACCGCCCCTTTGTCTTTATGTTACCTTTACATAAATACAGCAAACATGTATCCACATTTGGATCTTGTCTAATTTTCAAAAGTTTGGTTCAGTTACATGTGCTTTTATATTAATCCTCATTATTAATTTGTTATATCATTGGGTGTGTATTACTGGGAAAGGTATATGAGCAATGAAGGAATAACAACATTAAGGACAAGTAAATCATCAAATTTCCAAGGCAATCTGCCTCTTTATCAAGACACATCACACATCAAGACCTTTATTAAGACACATCACATACATAGAACATATATCATATTGTAAAACAAAGACAAATTTAAAGTTAAAAACTGTTTCCAAAAAAGTAGTGTAAATTTACATGTAGGGCAATATATCACACTTAATGATAAAAACAATAGTGTACAGCTTGACTGACCTTGGTATGTTCTAATTACCATATTTGTCATCCCTTAATCTTACAGATAGTGTTTCAACAATTTTTTACTTTATCTTAGATAAATATTATCTGTAAAAACATTTTTACAAATGTTTCTGTAATTTCCAAAACATTAAGATTTTCGTTGAAACTGATGTGTGCTCCAGAAAATGATTTTATCGGACACAAAATTTTAATGAAGGGCAATACTTTTGTAATTAAGGGGGTATACTGTACATCATCTTAGTATGATTAATGTATACACGAAGTTTCATTATCCCAGCTCAAATGCAAGCAATTTAAAGATGAGTTCTAGACACAAAGTTTTAACAAAGGGAAATAACTCCTTTATTCGAGGGGTTGAGAGCCTTGAATTTGGTACATTCCCCTAGTATGACTAACATATACACAAAGTTTCATGATCCATGCTCAACTATGGGCAAAGTTATGCCCAAGACGTGAAAGGACAGCCATAAAGACGGACAAGGCGACGACTATATGCTCACCGGTAAATTTCATGGAGCATAAAAACCAAAAAATACCTAAATTTAAACAAAATCATAATCAAAACTAAAATTCAATGAAACAACGATGATGTATGAACAAAAGAAAGATTTACATGGTGAGTCCTGAAAAAGTACAAGGACCAGGTGTTCCTGCTTTATCCATGACACTACACATGAAAATCTTGATCAATCCAAGTAAATAATGCAGCATATTCACTACAGTGGATTATGATCACTCACCAAAGTAGTGAAACAACTAATAGAGAACAATAATTTTAAATACTGTGATAATATTCTGTCGGTCTACCACCTTGATTGATTACATCAATAAAAAATCAAACATTTCCAATGTTTTAGCCTTGGGACAGACGTGAAAAGTTATTGGGTCACCTGACCTGCCTGACCACTTGGGTTTTCAGGAAGTACTCCAGTTTCCTCCTACAATACTTGACCCCTGTGCACTCCTATCTGGGCCAACAAGAGTGATTAATGCAAGTTTATAGCTTGTTTCACAATTATTGTAAAATATAAATAAGTTTATATTATAGATCTGGGCGATCGTTATCTTACATGTAATATAAATATGAGAAATCTGTTGTTGATGTTCCAGGAAGAGTAAAATAAAAAAAAATATGATATATAATGAGCATAGTTAATTAAAATGTTAATATCAACAAGCGCTCAACAAATGTGGATACTGACATTGAATTATCATTTTAGAGACAGAAATTTTCAGTCTTTAAGTGCATGTGATAAACATACTTATACATGTAACATGTAAGTTATTGTGATATGAAGACATTTACGTAACAAATATACCTGTCGAGGTTTTTTTGCTGTTTGATTGATGTTGCTCATGTTGTTTACTATTCGTCCGAGAAGGATGTGTACCTAGCTTATTACCTGTGTAGAACATACGTGATGTACAAATTTCCAATAACATGGATCCATAATTCATAACACTTACCTTGTAAATTCAGGTGACTTTTTTACGTCGACTTCAAACTCTATACAACAACTTTAAGTATACAGAACGTAAGATAACCACTACTCTCGACTATCTATGGTTAGATAGCGATGTATACCAACTTTCCACTTCCTCCTTTTCTGCGGTGTTTAACTAGTGTGAAGTGAAACTAATATTGAAGCTTGATGTATCACTCCGTGTGACTTTACCTGGAAAAACGTTTAAAATAATTAGTTGAAAAATATATGTTAATAAGATATACAATTTTCAGTTGTTTATCATCAGATAAGCAAACTTAGGGAAAATCAAAGGTTCCTAACTATACATGAATCATACTTAATTAAGAACTATATTCTATCGCGGATTGATACCACAGGTATCCGATATGTAGTAGTGAGGCAACAGGGTCATGTGCTATGATATGAGTCAACAACAATGAAATTCAGCAGCCCTAAGTTTGTGTCGTGAGGTCATGCAACGCGATATTTACTTATATAGACAATAACTTTATCCGGTCGTGGGTAAATGTATCATACAGGCTATTGGATATGTATACATGGAATGCTGACCCACAATAACTAAACTAGGACACAAGACTCACAACTGTATGACATACATTATTGTATTACCAATATGATTATTTGGGAGTGACAAATTAACATCTGTATCAGATTTTTTTATTTACTACTATCTAGCTTGGTACTTCGGTACCCCCAAAATAAGCTTGTATCTTTTACTTTTTACAGATATTTTAAATGAAGCGGGTTATGTTGAAATATCTCAAAAAGTTAACTCACCGGTAACCCAACAACACATAAAAATATATCAAAGATTTTTTAGATCGATCGGTTGAGTGTACCAAAAGTGCACGAATTAAACGAGTTGTGATTTAAACATATTTTATTGTAACAAATAAAATGGGATTTGACACAAGTGGCCCAACTTACGTTGAGCCCTTTCCCAATAAAGATTAAGGGAAGACGAGAGAAAAAGAGTGGGAAAGAGAGGTCAAAATATATATTGCTGAGTGACATATTTTTACTATTTTTACACTGTCTTCATTCGAGTAGTTATCACTACCATGTAGTAGTAACTGCAGGTCTAGTGGGTTAAAATCATTTTAGTTAGCATAGAATTATTCTCTGGTCCGCATAATTATTACAAGCGAAGAATTAGTGGTAAGTGTCTTCAAGAGGATGTTAATGAAGGTAGTCTGTTAGATTGGATCTGTGAGATTTCTAACACTAAAAGATACAATAAGGAGGATAGATAATTAGGTGTGAGTTTATTACTTATTGTGTAGAATAGTTGTAGTTTTCTCAACCACTTTCGATATAGAGAGATTCTCTGCTGCGTTATGCTCACAAACCAACAATAAGACAATAAAAGAAAAAACAATATATATAATTTGGTTACATACAATATCAATTTTCTTCATGAATAAATGAAAACATTCCACGTGATCTTCATTTATCACTTCTCGCCAATGAGTAGTCCGAAACAAAAACTGGCTGTTTTATAAAACTAGTTGTAGACGTTATGTGAGAGATACTGGCTAAAAGCAAACACATTGTGATGGATGAGTTACTCATTTACATACAACTTTGAACTACCTTTTATATTGTTTTAAAGGGAATTTCTGAAACATTCTATCATCATTAGATTGTAGTAAATATACATTATCATATGCTTGCAAATTTACAGTAAATAAATGTGTTCCCCGTTATCCTTGGTGTAAGAGACGATACATTTTTCGTTAACGGAAAGACTTAACAACGAGCTGATGGAGAGGTACAAGGAAAAGGGTTGACTGTTTTGAATGCGATTGGCCAAAATAGATGCTCAGACATCCTTATAGACCAGTATACCCCTTTTTATGTTTCCCATGATGTCTTTGTGGAATCATTATACTCATTCAATTTTACTTCGATATTATTTTGTACCCTAGATTCCCACTAGTAACGAAGAGCCTTTAGTAGCCATTGATGAATTTTGTTGATGCTAATTTTTCGTATTATTATACTGTATGTTAGACTGGATAACGTAGAAAATGAGGTGATTGGACTTGAAACTGTCGGCTGATCTGAGGAATGCAATGGGAGCTAAGTGCGACAAGGGGAGCTCCAAGCGAAGTGAAGTTATTAAAGCTATCAATTGGTATTTTGAATAACTGGATAATTGAAATAAAACAGGGCAGTAGACTGTTTATTTCGTTAAAAACAGCAGCGATAATTGTCTCGCACGACGAAGGAACCACTGTAATT